TGCCAGGTGATTACCTAAACAACCATAACACCACTTCCGCTGTCTGGCAATATTACGTCGTGCTTGAAAACGTAATGCCAAAAACTTTTGACATGACACCACGGTGTGATCAGGGACTCGACAATAAACACAACGTTTGCCTGGATGTTGAGTTGCCACGTTATAAACTCGCCGGTCAGGGCGTCGTACTAAGCGCATATGCTGTTGTCGCGGCCCAGTAGAAATTGGGGCCGGCGTTGTGGACGGCGCTGGAACATTATCCTGTCTGCGACACTCATCCTCTAAAAACAAAATCAATTCATCGAACGAGGGAAGATGAGTGGATGAATCTCCACAATACGCCTGTTCAAATCGGGTGCGCATGTCTAAATTTAGTTTTTGTAATGTTATATGCAACAAAATAAAAGACCAACTATCTACAGGTAAATTTAAACCCCTTAAGGCATTAATTGCCACTAATAAAGGATTTAAAACTTGAATTCTTAAGTTGTGGCTCTGCACATTACTCTGTAAATTTAATATGACATCTACGTGGCTATCCGCCAGCTTACGTATGTTTTGATAACGCCGCATAAGTAAATCTCTAGCTATATCATAATTATTGTCCACAAGTACTGAATGTTGGACTAACCCTTTAGCCTCCCCAGTGAGACTAGCCAACAAATATGCCAACTTTTGAGCAGATGTTAAATCAACTCTTGAATGCACTAAACTATCAAATAAATGAATAAACGCCACCCATTGGCTTAAATCGCCACTAAAATGGGGCAAATCTAGTTTGGGTAACCTACCTATAATACCACTTGAAAAAGTTAAACTATCCTTCGATTGAAGGTTATTTGACTGATTAACCGAAGATTTAATAATCCCAACGGCTTCCCTAATTTGATCAGCCAAATCCTCAGCCTGATCCATGTCTGCAGAAACCTTGTCCATCACCTCCGGTTCTAAACCCAACTCAAGTAATGCCTGATACGATTTATATAAATCTTTCATTCTATCCTCTAACGCGTCACTTCTTGATAGAAGCGCCTGAACGCGATCTTTTCGCGAAATATTTAAAACGGCCGATCCTAGCCACCGTAATACACCAGCTATTTGTGCCTTGTGCGAGACCGCCATTATAAAAGTATATGAATACAAACAATAGCACAAAAAATTTAAGAAAAAAATAAATAATAATAAATGGCGAATATAACTAATTACAAAAAAAATATAACAAACAAAAAAAATAAATACATTAATAAGTTATGAACCCAGGACTTATACTACCGAACAATTATTTACTAAAATGTAACCACGCTCTGCTACCAAAAAATTATGTACCACAAAGAACGGTTCGGTGGCCGTCGATACACAATTCATATTAAAATAATAAGTCCTGAGTACATACCTCGTCAATGTCTCCTTACAGGAAGATAGGCACACAATATTATCAGCCGTAAGGATTTGGGAATAGTTTTAGTATGGGCACAAAAAGAGGTTAGACTGATGGTGATTGATACCTTGCCTCACAATAGTTTTTAAACACGCACTAAACACTCACTATACAATTTTAAATAGTGGACGTGTCTATAATCATCTATATTTAACAAAAAGTATATATCCAAATAAAAAATGCTAGACGCACGAGAACACGTAACCCGACAAGCTCAACAACGACTAACAAAAAAAATGTGTCGATCGGCCGTGTAAAAATATTTGGCATCACCCTCATCAAATTTAATAAAATTAATATAATGTATTTCGAACAAGTGGTATATCTAGAATAGTAAATTATTTAAAGTATATTAAATTCGCGTAATTTATAGAGACCTGTTTGACATTGACTTGAATTTTTGTCAGAATATTATAGTAAAGTTTCGGAGTAAACACACCAACCCCTGTTTTCCGGAGGGGCAGAGACCACGGATATCCTTGCTATGGTCTTGACATACCAAAATACAATAAAAAAAAATTACATATTAAAATTCTCATCTGAACACAACATCTATTCCTTAATATTTTTAAGGTACCATTATAATGTTGCGCACGCACAGAAAAGAATCCGTGGCGCTAAAACCTGTTTGATCTGGGCTTCAGAGTCAAAATAAATACAAACTAATAAAATAAAACTTTTCTTATTTATTATTATGCGCATAAAAGCGCATACTGTAGTACCACACACACTAGCTCGTACGGTGAAGGAAAACATAGTGAGGAAACCAGCATGTCTAAAATATAAAATCGAAGACATGTGTCAGACTGATGGCTGATCTATTTGTCTATGAAATAAATGTTTCTGATTAGTGAAGGACATGATAATTTAAATTCAATAGTAATTATTTAAAAATTTAAGGATAAATTTATTTTTTCTTCAAGACAACTTTGACAGCCTTGCGATTCTGTAACTCACTTTTCGAACTATCACAGCGATTTTTACAGCGGCGTTCGCGCTCAGATCAGTCGTAAAGCAGTCATTTTAAGATTTCGCATTATGATAAATAATAAACTACAAGCTCCCTTCTTATTTGCTAATCAGCACTTTTATGTAACAGTAAAATTATATAAAATATACTCGTCCGAAAATACATGTTTTATAAACAATCACTTATGTGAATAAATATATTTCCATAAATTGCGAACATTTTTAATTTATCGCCAAAATATAATAAAACAAAAACTAAAAATTTGCTAAATAGGACAGGCCGCATCTCACTTAACATCAGGTTCGGCAAACATCTGTCCAATTCTGTATAAAAAAATATTTTATTTATTATTGACACATAACTTAAATGCAATTATTATAATAACTATTAATATTCACGATTTACTTTAGGGATTCTATGTTTCATGCGTCTTAAGTTTTATACTATCTTTGTGTGAGAAGTTGTGAGAACGATATTCAATATTTCTCCGTCTTTAGCTCATCAAGGTTGGTTGCGAAAGTCGATTATCGATTATAATCATAATGTAATCTTATTATTATTATTTTCTTCCGGTAACTGGTAATTGTATTAAGTAATAATACAAAGTACAGTATGATATAATGCAGGAAAATTTTATTCAAAATCTGACAATCCTGCAATTGCCTAAGTCAGTTGCAAAGAATAACTGATTTACATAAGTAAATAAAACTAATTGTGCATAAGAAGAGGATAATTATATTGATATTATTTTACAATAGAGCGCTGAACAAATATTCTAATACGATTTTATTTATATTTTTATTTATTAACACAGGCCACGCGTTAAGTCTGAACCAACAATAAATTTGTAAATTCTTTAATAATATAATTTAAAGATAAATAAAATTATACCAACTAGCTGATGCGATAACGAGACTTTCTGTCTACCAATGAAATGAGAATGCGTTAACATACATTAACAATTCACGTCAAATTGTTAACCTGTGTTGTCTTTGACCTACTTTTTTGTGGTTAAATAATTAAAAAGTATGCATTGAAAAAATAATTAAATTAGCCAAAACGGGACGGTTAGACACAAACATACTTTGATATATAATTGAGAATCACCTAGTAACTTTTTTTGATTAGCTAAATAATTATTATTTGCGTAGTTGTAGATAACCAGTGCTTACCACAAATCTAGATGCTAATTTTGATTAATTTAATGTTAGTCCACTCGCTGTTCGGTAGTTAGTAGTATCGCAACTCGCTTGAGGTTTTTGCATACAAATTTAACATCAAGGCTACATTCTAAAATACGTCTACGTCCATCATTTGGCTATTCTTATCACATTATCCAAATAGACGGGTTTTACAGTTAGTAATAGAATAAGGATTAAAGCAGCCAAAGACAAGCCATTTTTAAAGTAATATCAATAAATATGATGATTTAGTCTTAGCTAGCTAGCTTAGTATTAAAGCAATTTTCTTGATTATACTTAAATAGTTTTTATAATCTAATATATAAAATTCTCGTGTTTGTTCCCATACTCCTCCGAATCAGACAACATCTATTTTTCATCCCCCTAAATGTTAAGGGTGGTCCCTCCTCTAATTTTTAATTTTTTTGACAAAACTTTTTGTTTTTATTTTTTTATGATACAACATACAAAAATACATACAACCCCGTAATTTTCACCCCTCTACGATCAACCCCTATTTTTTTATTATTGTAGATAGTTATTTTATTGAAATAAAAAAATGTTTCCTAGAAATAATATACATGGCAATCCAAACGTTTTCCGGGTGAGCTAGTATTTTTATAAAATAATACATTTTAACACTAACATACTGTTGAAACGAAATTAATAATTAACATTATAACAATCATGTATATAACTATGCTAAAATCATAGATTATGGATAAGGCTTCGAATATCTCCATGATAACTAAAGAGACTTACAAAATGAGTCAACTTAACAGTAAAATTAACCTAGTTGAAACCATATTATCTAGCTTCCACACATAAATCGCGAAATGAGGGAGCATCAGGCAATAAATCTAAAATACGTCGTTGTGCGGCAATTCTGGATGCTGATTAAATAATGAGCCTAACGAAGCTCTTATCGAATTCACACTGGTTCTAAATTCAACTCACGCCAATGTCAGCGTGCACTGTCATTGACGACAGTTCAATGATTCGTAGTGGCTCTCTATGACATAACATGACCCTCTCATGTATTCCATATTTTAGATTGATTAGGTTTTGGTTTTTGTATTCGATTTTTTTGAAAGTCCATTGAAACCTATAAAATCCTCACTGGCCACTATAATGTTCCAGGAATTGAGAAGCTCTTAATTTTAGGTGAAAATACACATTTGAGGGGTAGTTCTTTAAAACTTAAGACCACTTAACATTACACAAAGTCCCTAAAGAACTTTCTCCCAAAACGAGTAGTGGCCGACTGGAACAGGCTTCCGGAAAGTGTAATCAGTGCACCATGTTTGAACTCCTTTAAAAATAGGTTGGATAATTTCTCCAAATCTCAAAATACACGCGCATCAGCTTATTAAGCTGCTAGTGTGTTTACATACTAATAATAATAATAATAATGCTTGACTTTGTCAATGATAAATCATATTACCACGAAAGAGCTTATAATTTTAGACAGTGCGTGTACAAAGAGGCAAGTGAGTTTTATTTTTAATACCTTTTAATAGATAAACAGTGATAAAATAGCAGACATTTTGTATGAGTAAAGGCACAGAAGGCTCGCTTAGTTACACCCACATTGTCAGATGGCTATTAACCTTAACTACCTCATTAGTTTAGTGATTAGATTGAAAGATACTTCGTCGACAGGCGTGTTATCAAATAGGCCGCAAATTACTTAACCTATGGCAGTATTACGGGATCAATTTGTATTAAAAAAGCCTATGAATTATGAAATTTCCGGTTTCAACCCCGGTTGAGGCCGGAAACATATGGCATGTTTCATTGTATTTGAAAAGATGTTTGAATACCGTAATTTGAATTTTTGATAAGCATCTCGACCCTACGACTGATCTCGAAAGGGTGGATAAGTAGTAAGTCCCATCTATGAGAGTTTTGGACTAGAAGGCACCCGTGTTCACGCATACCTACACACTACATGTTCAAGTGTATAAAATAAAAATAAATCAGTGACGCTATAACCTCTTTAAGTCTTGGCCTCAGATTTCTGAATCTGTTTCATGATCATTTTTAAATCTAATAGGCAAGTAGGTGATCAGCCTCCAGTGCCTGACACACGCCGTCGACTTTTTAGGTCTAAGACATGTCGGTTTCCTCACGATGTTTTCCTTCACAGTTCGAGCAAATGTTAAATGCGTACATAGAAAGAAAGTCCATTGGTGCACAACCTACTACCTCAAGTATGAGAGTCGCACGCCGAAGCCACTAGGCCAACACTGCTCCTCAAGCGTAGAACACCAGCCTCAAAAGATAAGCTGCCGTGTGAGGACACGAAATAATAATAATATTTCTTATGAGGATAAGAAATATTATTATTATGTCCTTAAATTATTATTCTTACAAGTCTCTTTGATGCCCTTTTAACCTATTCAAAACAATTAATGTTGAGCATATACAGAATTAACCAAAATTTTACCGCGTAAAGTTTCACATGTAATTTTCCAAGACATTAGCGTCTAATGTTTTCGAGACCTAACCGTGGCAAAGCTGCAAACAAAGTTGACCTATAATCAGCTAAAAGCGCTTTGTTGAAGCGGAACATTGGAGTAAAGTTGACCCAAAGTTTGCAAAACCGACGTTTGGCGAAGCACGGAATTCGGAATCTAATGCTTTATATAAAATATTAAACGTTGAGCTTTATTTAAATTCATTATATACATGAAAAGGTATTTATTAAATAAAAAAAATACATAGTAAATCTGCAGAGTGGCTCCTGTCGGCTGTTTCTACGCGAATAAAATTGAGCGAAGTAGCAAGTAGTATCCATAATAGACAAGATATTTATGGAAAGTATATTTTTGATGTCATAAGATCAATAAAACAATATTTATAATACGTAAATATTTATATAAAGTCTAAAACCCAATATATATGATATACCTTAAATAATAAATTATACCAAGAAGAAAGATTAGATTTAGTGAGGATGACATCTTTCGTGATCTTCACGAGATCCTTTTCAAAAGTAATATTTTTGTTAGTTCTAGACGGGCTAATAACTGGATTGTTGCGCCACTGATTTGTTTTACTTTAAGTCTCGGTTCTAAATCTTAGATTTTATATTTTCATACAACTTAAGATGCGTTCATGTCAAGTCAAACAACGAAATGACCCTTCTTATGATTATATTTATGATACACATCGGTATAAAAGTAGCGAATGCTGAAGATGTTTTTCCAATATTTTTTTTAAAGAAATCCCTACGAACATTCCCAAGCCATACCGCGGTACATTATTTCTCAAAATAAAAGACTTCAAACCATTATATTATTTACGATTAATAATAATTTAGTGCATCCGCGTCTTTGATCATTTTTCTTTCATAGACGAGTAGGTTATCGGTCTTCTGTGCATTACATAAAGATTTCTGGGTCTCACTAAGTCTTAATCGTTTAGTGTAAAGTACGCACATAGAAAAATTCCTGCACAGCTGTGATTAGAAATGGGGTTGAAAGCCTCACGCCCAAACCACCATGCCAACTGCCTGAAAGGATTTGGAAAAACAATATATTCTTGAATGTTTATTTCAGTGCTGGACGCAACAGCCAAGCTTCCATCAGGCATCCTAAGTGGAAATGGGAACCAATATGGCGACTTCGACGAATGCCTTAGCATTGATAGCGCAGTACGTGGAAAGTACTGCCTGGCTTCGCTGCAAGTTAACTTAGCGGACATTGGTCATAGCAAGTTAGACTATTTGGTGCACAGTGGCCATTATATTAGGAGTAATATTACTGATGTGAGTATATTTTTTTCTTTCTTTCTCTCTCTTCGCGAATATTAAAAAAAAACCTTCTTGGCCTTAGATTTCTGTAGCTCTTTCGTGATCATTTTTGGAAGCCAAGTAGGTGATCAGCCTTCTGTGTGCTTCCTGTGTTAAATGCACACATAGAAAAGTCCATTGGTGCACGGCAATGATTCGAACGCGCAGTCCACTGGGTTGAGAGATGAACCCACAAGCCAACACTGCGTAGCGAATATTGAATGATTTCATTATGAAAAGATCCTACTTGCATTGTCTTATTAAAATCGAAAATTAATTATTTAATTAATCGTTGTTTTTGCGGCAATTTAGTGATAATAATCTTGTGTTACAGTAATTTTGTGACCTTAAAAACCGTAGAACAGGGTTTACAAACAGTCTATATCTATGTTCATAAGAATACTAAACGAATATTTACCAATAAACTCCGATATTACTTAAGCAGTATTTTTATTTATTGCTCGTTTCGGAGAAACCATCGTTTCATATTGAATCCGTCTGACCCTAAAGCAACATGTTTTATTAATTCAATAAATGCATCAAAATTACATACAAGCACGTTTGTTATGAAATCACATTCATTACGGAGTCGTAAAGACAATCGACAACAATAAAATCCGGGCCACGCGACCCAAGGGTGTAGGTTCACGGCTACATGACACAATATTACATGGTATGTTTATTATTTATTTGTATTAAAGTAAAAGTAGTGTTACATATGTCAGATTTGCAAAAAAGATGTGTTATATATTTTGCACAGAACAAATAGTGATTTCGTTAATTTCTAATACTTTGTCACACTAATTGTCTATGAACTGACCATTACGATACTGGGTACATATAACGTGTACAACATATGTAAATTATTAACTAACGCTGCTATGTATGCAAATTATAACTATAGACAGAGTTAAAATAATAATAATAAAAAACTACAAAATTCTAAAACTTTAAAAACTTTATTCGTAATAGAAATATGGTTGTGACAAAATTCATCTATCGCTAATCCCCACACTAGGAGTTGTGTTGTAGAGTGTTAGTGAAGTTTTGATATTAAATATAAAATCAAAATATAATGTTTTCATGTACCTATTTAGATTTTTATATAGATAAAAATCTAATGTTACAAAGATAAATCACATCAAGGGTTCTCAAGGGTATATACCGGACGAGAGGAACTGGCAATCAACTCTCCGTCACTCTCTTAAAGGCTGTTTTACAAAATGTTCGTAAACACCTACAAACATAACATCATGCCCCTCATGACATATACACAGATCCAAGTCCAACCAGTCACACAAGTAGCACCCGTTCACGAGTACGACGCATGGCCAGCCATCGGCCCCCTCGCGATATTGTGGAGAAAACCCCACGCATGGACGCCAATATTCATACATAATATAATTTAACGTCAATAACTATGTTATTTAATGTTCAATTTATCCATAACTGCATAACAATGAATTGCTCGGCGACTTGTGTGTAAATGTGAAAAAAATACACGTTACAGTAACTCTAATTAACCACATAGATTTCATCATACACTTTCTCATAGAAAATAGCCATATAAACCAAATTTTCGTTGTTTGAAAACTGTCTTAATCATACAGCATACCATAATCTAAATTTTCCATGCTCTATGCAGCCTCTTAACAAATTACATTTGCATTGCAAAACGTGTGTCGACACTATCTCCCTGCACTTAAATTAAGATCGATGCTCCATACTAATAATGGCTTATCTGCATTCCTAGCAATTTCACGTCCAACCTATATTTATGAAGCTCCTTCGCATAACAGTGAATCATCAATATACACATACATATCATATCAATTAAACGAATGCAGTAGAGACCGTAGTTTAAAATATTTACGTATATATTCTACTTACACCTGCCCTACACTGTGTAGTTCACTGCTAGGACTGCCTGACCTAAAAAACTAACAGATATAATTTTCTAGTTCCCATAAGTGACGAGCATGCATGAATGTTATAAAAGTGGATGAAGCGAGAGAGGTATGTCAAGACCGTAGCAAGCGGAGTTCCGTGATCTCTGCCTGATATCAAAAGAGAATCTAGACCGAGATGACATGGATATAAAGATGATACCAATTAGACGTAGAGTCCTTCAAGAAAAGAGCGTACCAATTCTTGAAAGGCCGGGAACGCACTTGCGAGCTTTCTGGCAATGTAAGTGTCCATGGGCTTTCTGGCAAGCTTTCTGGCATGTCTTAACATCCGGTAAGCCTCCAGCCCGTTTGTAATACGTAAAAATAAAACGAATGGCGTAACACAATGCTGAAATATTCTCGCGGGTTTGTGCTCATTATCGTTCCCAACACGTTCATAGCACGCTCATTGTATGAAACGGTATACAAGTTTAAGCTTCTGTAAGCTAAGGCGAGAGCGCCATAATTTAAAGATTTGTTTATTTAACCATAATAGTGCATTTTGTAGCAAAGAAGCTAACAAGAAGTTTAGCAAAAAAAGTCATACACATATAATAATAAACTTTATTCCATATTGTTATGAATATGGTAGTGACAAAATTAATCTAACGCCAGTCCCCAAACTAGGGAGCCCCTGTTTTGTGGGTGACCAATTACAGATCTTTCGTCCATGTTTAAAATAAAAAAAACATAAGTTATGAATGAAATATCTTTATAAAGATTAATATCTATTTAAAATCAAATTATAATTTAAAATACTTCTAAATTTACATTTACTGTCAGGTCTCAAATCAAGGGCGTAGAATAAATATACTCTTCGTCACTCTTTTAAATCGCAAAAGTATTTTTTTTAATGGTTGTAAGCAGCTGAGACAACCCGACGCAATGACGCCATTACTTACCGCATCATATGTTCAACACAAAGCAGTTAATTATTGCACATTACCAAAATGCATTTTCACCTTAAATTTTGAAGTATATGAATCTAATATCCAATCAGTATTAATCATGACTAGGCATATTTAAAGAAGCCACGGGAAATAAACGGTTCATCATTAAATACAAATTTAAAAATGTAGGTTTTTATTAACACAGCCATATTTGACACTTGCCGTGTTCATGAATAATGTTTTTATTAAACAGTTGACGCGAATACAAATTATATAATAATTGATGTATGAACTCTCTCCTTGTTAATGTTTTTGTAAAATTATCATATTTCGATAATTTAAGCATAACAGGGCGTAGATACATAAATTATATTTTGCTTAAATAAAGAATATAGAGTAATGCAACATGTATGTTTTAGGTAGTATAGGGAGAATTTAATTCGTTGAATCGATTTCGATTAATTTTATACATATACAAAATATAATCACCAAATCGTGAACAGTAAGAAGTTTATGAATTCCACTTAAACATATTCCATATTTATTTTAATTTATGTTAATTTAGGACATGAGGCGAAAAGTAAGTAAGATCCTAGGTTTGTACCTTGTCAAAAACCTAGCATTAAAAAGATTTATAAAACTAACGCAAGGTACATCGAAAAAAGTAGACTTCGTAGTCACAGTACCGAAAATCATTTAAATTATTTTAGAACACGAAAATCGGTCACACAAATAATATAAAAGAATATTATTCAAATATTTATGCAGATCTGAGGTTATCAACCTTTTTATAGAGGAAATATTTGCATTTCAACATATTACATAAGGTAAGGATAACATCAAAGATATCCGATTTGGTGTTGACATATGTCATTCAGACACTTCAATGTCATGACTTCACTTTTAAATCTAAAGCGCATCATAAATTAGAATAATAGTTTAGACATCATAAACAATTGTACATGATAAGATGACGACGATTCAATGTTGGTTACTTACTTGTATTGTTGTTTAAAAGTTGACTCCACGTTTAAAAAAGTAGTTTAAGCTTTATGCAATAAACTTAATTGTATATCTATTACACTAACAAACTTACATTGTGACGATCTGTGGTGTCTTTAGATGGTATATAGTTATTGATTGATATTGTAAAATGTTGAGGGCTTTTAATAAAGTGTATGTACGCAAGTTGATTGTCGTGAATGACATTGCGCTTAAGGACTGTTTCTTCTAAATAATATTATGGTTTTGTATTTGTATTCGTATGGATATGTACCTAGACATTAAAAGCAACATTTTATACAATCTTGCCGTTTTATATAAAATTGCGACGTCTTTATTTCTATATATACATAGTTTGATCTTACCAAGATCTAAAAATGTATGAACATTATGAACTTGTTCAAATATCTCCCAATATCATAGCGTTATTTTAAATTGAAGTGTGGCTTTTGTGGGTATATTTGTCTGCTATTACAGAAATTAAATAAAAAGTGGCTTTGAGAAACAAATGTTAGTCTGTCACTTGTTGCGAAAGCGTTGATTTAATTTAGAATTTTTGATATGGTCTGCCTCACATTGTATTTAACAAACTTTGTTAATTAATTTAAAAAGAGTTTCTTTATTGCGTTTTATATTTAAAGATAGTTTTTTAAATCCCTACGTGCTTTATTAGCAGAACTGGCAATTCTTGGAGTGGAATTGAGTCACTAGAGATGCGATCGTTACGTGAGTGGAATTTAAATGGGCCAAAATGGCAAATTGGCAGGACACTGACGTTTGACATGCCTACATGCCGCGGTCGGGTATTTAGAGGAAAATGCTTAACTGCTTTTTATTCGATATTTTATACTATTATTTCCCTGGAAATGAAAATCCCACAATAATTTAATCATATATACTACAGCTTTCAAAGCCGCAGGCGGAGAGACTCGTAGTGAATACAACACTACAGATTCTCAAGAAGAGGATTTCATACTCAATTCAATTAATACAGAGCAGTGTTGTGTAGTGGCTTGAAGGTGCGACCCTCATCTTTGGTCATAGGTTCAAAACCCGGTGTTGCACCTATGGGCTTTTTATTCGCATGTAACACTTGCTCGTACGGTGAAGGAAACCGGTTTGCGTTAGACCCAAAAAGTCGCAAGTCGCAAGTTCGCAAGACCAAGGGTCTCACATGTCACCAATAAACACATATCGAAAGAGTTTTCGGTACTTAAGAATGGAATAATATTTTCAAATCTTAACGAAGTCACAAAGGACTATAGTAACCTTGACAGAGCATCTGACGTGCAAGACAATTTGCCGCTCTGAGCCACTCCTTAACAAACAAACTTAAGAACATATTAACTATCTTGATTTAACTACGTGACTGTAGATTCTGAATTCAGTCTCACTACTGTGTCGAATAGTTCGAAAATTATTAAGACATGGTAAAATAGTTAACAATATCAGATCTACTGCGAGAGAATTATTGTTTCGCCTAGATTCGGTCTTATGGACTAATCAGGGCAGATCAAGAGTTCTACAGAAAATGTATTCAATAATGTGTCATTACAATCATCAAAGTTGGACCACTTTTTACTAGCGCATCGGGTCCTCTGGGTTCCTTTCGTTGTTTTTTTCTTCTTGTAGACATCGAACAATTTTTTATGTGTTAGGCAAAGTTTACATAATAATAAAGAATAATACTCAAATGACGCATTTTTTTACTTGCGAAATTTAACATAGGAGACATACGACTTAGAACTAAGTCTCGATTCTGAATTTTACCCTTAGACATTCAGCCTATGAGAGTTCTTCTAAGTTTTGTAAGCTATGCTACGATTTCGGATTCAGGATATCTTAAGCAGCAGGTGCCAGCACTGTATTTAGCGTTAAATACCACCAGAATTCATATATTCCTTTGTTATATGCACGTGAAAAATAGTTATTATTCAAGACAACCCTCGGACCGACTGATGGGATATTCGCTCAATAATGAGTAGATTTTTTTATCTCAAACGTGAGAAAATATGTCAAACAAATAATTGTTTATATATAGATTGAACTTATAACTTAAACTTTGTATTATTTATAACTTTTTTAGAACCTAAATGCTTGTCATAAATAACACGATAAAGCATAATAATTAATGTTTCGTTTTGTTCTTATGATAAAACATTCAGACATTTTAGTATTACTTTATTAAATAAACGCCTGTTTTTCATATATAGTTTATATCGCTTTTGGGTAATAATAATTGACCTATCCGTTCTTTGTCTTCTTTTAGCTTCATTCAATGCTGCATATTATGTTACGACCTTATACCATCATCTTTATACGCCTTTTGCTCTTAGGCCTTTTCTGTGTATAATTACGTAATTAAATATATAGTAGCTTAGCTATAACAAATATTTGTCGAGTCAAATACATAGAAAACGTTTTATTATTACTAATTAAAACTAAAACTCTGCAAATACCTTAAAATATGCCCATTACGAGCTCAAATTTCAAATGAAACCAGTTCATTGCTTACTCATAACGATTTTATACTATATTTCTATTCCTATTTATGTCGATTCAAAATCATATTTTTTTTTACCTTTTTTTCAATATTATTTTTAAAGCATGATTAATAAACTAACGAGTTCAAAAGCTCCTTGGTGCCTGAAGGGCTGCACCACAGTACAAATTCCTTTACTTACAAACAAAAGAGTTAAGAAAAAAATAATGAAACAAAAATCCTATACACTTCCATTTACTCCATTAGGTAGTCTATTCACAGCGATGGATATTCTTGGAATTGCAGTATGGGCAAACATAGAATTCTGTACCCTGTGTTTAATAAATAATTGCTACCGGGGGATATCCAACCTAAAACGCCACCATATGCATTAACTCCACGGAGGCGATTTCTATTACTATATTTATTTACAAAAGACAGCCAAAATGTTCTAGAAGTATCCCAAAGGTGTAATAATTTATTGATTTAATTCTTATATCGTACGTGTATCGCGATCACGCAAATACCAAGGCCCATCTTTAATATTCCAACAAGCTATCAGACACATTGTCAACTAATTTGGTCTCTATTGTGTTGAGCAATACAATTCTTTGACTAATACAAAATCAAGACACAACAATTAAACAATGCAATTGTAAACAAATTTTTACATTGTATTAGAATTTTAAATGTTCCTTGAACGAACTTTTATATCATTTCATGTGTGTCTAATATGTGTAAAAAGAGCTCTATGCTATATATAAGCTATATTTATTTTTAGATGTACTAATTACTATATTTACATTTCACATATATTGATTATAATATTTTGTTTTTATTGAGCTTTGATTTTATGTGTATGTTACGAATTAACTAGTTATTACTATCAACATCCTTGTTATTATTGAAGTTATACTTCTTTAAGCGCGTTATGAAAAATTGATGAGAGTGAAATTTTACGATGCGCGCGCACCTGAGATACAAAGTTGTCAGTGTGATTATAGCGTGCGCGAGCGAGATGGGAATAAGACAGTCTACAAGTTAAAATGAAATAGAATATGCGTGAAGTTAGCAGCTATGCCAAGAATTTTGAATGACCATAATGACATTTACCTTTTAAACAAATAAAGGAGTTTTAATTATTTTTTCAAAGAAATTTAGCAATGCTTTTTCACAAAGACCTATTGTTACTTAGTTAAAAGGTTATGAAACATACCAAGTTATTAAATTGAATGAATAATATAATAAAATAATAAATAATAATAATAATTGTTCTTAATATTAATTAATAATTGAATAATATACAAAATATTTAATATTATTAAATTGTTTACGTTAAATATTAATCATTATATAATTATATTTAAAAAAAATAAAGAAAGCCAAAGAAGTATAACTTCTTACGCGCGTACATAAGTACACGCACCCTTTTTTATTATTATTCAAGCTTTATTAATCCATACAACAATTTGTTAGTTTACATTCCTTAATATTAGTATTAGTTAAGTTAGTATGTGAGTTTAAAACAAAATTTAAGTTACATTTATTTTTTATTTTTTAGTGGTCTAGTTTTCGTATGGCCCCTTATAGGGTAAAAGCCTCCTCCATATTTTTTATTACTATCTTTATTTATTACTATTCATCAAACATTGTCAATCAACTTTTAGCTTCAGTCGTTGTTGTTTGTCAAATTCTTAAACAGCGCCGGTACTCCGTAAATTCCAATAGTAAAATATTCCGAAGTTGTTTTGTGCAATTATGTTGTTCATAAATTCCGTAAATGTTCTTGATTTCAGATGGGTCACAGAGTACCCAGATACTCCAGTCTGCTATGGGGTGTCTGTATACCAAGTTCTTGCAGTAGCTTCGACTTGGAGGAGGAGCTTTCACACAAGCTGTCACATCTTGGAGTGACTGCTAAAGTACAAAACACTATGTGTACTGTTAAACACTTTAAGCGGCCGTACTCCTTTGGAAAATCTCTAGCTATGTAAGTTATACAACTCTTTATCTAACAATAAGGCATGTTTATTGACATAAGTCTAGCAGGCTTACCCTGTAAAAGTGAATTCGATTTCATACGGGTATTCTAAAACCTTTATTAAAATTGGGCTAAATTAGTTAATCATTGGAAATCTGTATTACCAGATACGACGGTAGAATAGCCCTGCTGCATGTTATCTATAAGTCCATACGAATAGAAAAATTATTAGTTATTATTAGTTCCAAAAAACTTTTTTTTTAACCTTAATACCTAACCATGGTACCTACGCATAAACACACCTGAAACATTATAAACCATTTGCAATTAATTTACAATAAATACTTGCATTAATAACAAAAATTACGAAATTTGTTCGGTTTTTTCCTCTTGCGTTATGTAGTTGTTTCTGTTACAAAATCTGTGATTGTTAAGAGGCTATAGGACCCGCCCTGTGTTGGCCTTAGCTGATCGCTTGTTACAGCTATTGTTAGAGATACGAGATACAAAATTATTTTCTATATAACAGCTGACCATGACAGTATTAAAAACTTCGTTATATGTTTGCCTAATGAAGCTTTGATACTGTATTTGGGTATATTGTTCCTTTAAGTGGGAACGAGATAGACATTAGACATACTTATGCGTCTGTCAAAATAATTTAAAAATGCAAATCTTTATCTATCCAGCCCGAAGTATTGTTTTTTATCATTTCCAAACCGAGGTGATGTTTTTTTTATACAACAAAGAGCAAAGGGGCAGGAGGCTGTGTTGGCCTTAGCTGATCGCTTGTTACAGCTATTGTTAGAGATACGAGATACAAAATTATTTTCTATATAACAGCTGACCATGACAGTATTAAAAACTTCGTTATATGTTTGCCTAATGAAGCTTTGATACTGTATTTGGGTATATTGTTCCTTTAAGTGGGAACGAGATAGACATTAGACATACTTATGCGTCTGTCAAAATAATTTAAAAATGCAAATCTTTATCTATCCAGCCCGAAGTATTGTTTTTTATCATTTCCAAACCGAGGTGATGTTTTTTTTATACAACAAAGAGCTAAGGGGCAGGAGGCTGTTTTGGCCTTAGCTGATCGCTTGTTACAGCTATTGTTAGAGATACGAGATACAAAATTATTTTCTATATAACAGCTGACCATGACAGTATTAAAAACTTCGTTATATGTTTGCCTAATGAAGCTTTGATACTGTATTTGGGTATATTGTTCCTTTAAGTGGGAACGAGATAGACATTAGACATACTTATGCGTCTGTCAAAATAATTTAAAAATGCAAATCTTTATCTATCCAGCCCGAAGTATTGTTTATTATCATTTCCAAACCCAGGATGATGTTTTTTTATACAACAAAGAGCAAAGGGGCAGGAGGCTCACGTAATGTGAAGTGATACCGCCCATAGACACTCACGTTGCCTATAGGTCTCGCCAGTGCGTTGTTGGCTTTTTAAGAATTGGGATGCTCTATCTTAAAGGACCCGAAGTGCTGTTTATACGCTATATGCATTAATCATAAATGAATTGCATAAAATAAATAATAGAATTAAAATTTACATTTAAATACAAAACATCTTTAATCATATTTAAGTTTTAGCAAATGTTTGAAAAGATCAATTTTTGGTTATTCGAATTTTATTACTAATTGTGGTAACTACCATCATAATATCATAGAAATATCATCCCTATATTCAACGTTATTCTCAATATTACAGAGCATTTTTCCTCGGAGTCCTACTTCTCCTTACCTTGGGAACTATTTTCGACGATGGCAAGGAGGGTGCAACGAATTTTGAAAAGTTACTAAACGCGTTTTCCTTGAAACGCAACCTTCGCAAAGTCTTCGATCTTTCGGATTCCCCTACAAGAGTCAAGGGGGTGGATGTATTTAGAGGCATGAACGCGTTTGCGCTACTCGTGGCTCATAAGTCTATGGCAATGGCGCATAGCCCTTATGTCAACAAAGCTAGTTATGCAGAGGTAGGATTCTTTGTATTTTTATGATATATTTAATAAAATTATATTGATATATTTTGGGACTGTCGATAATCTTGATGAACAGTCTTCTGTGACCGACATTAATGGTTTTAGGTCTAAGACAGTCCGTTTCTTCCATCTTATGAGTAGTAATTACATAAAGCAATTAAATAATGTTTTGTCACTTATTGGTTTAACTGTTTATTGATAACAAGCTTTTTAAATAGGTTTTATTTACAATTTTAACATTAAAAATGTAAAGGAATTACACCATATATACGACGAATTGTCCTAACAAAGATAATCTTTAGCAAACACTAAACAGTATGTGAAAAACATTAGTGAGTGACTTTGATTTAAGAGAGATCTTTATATCTGAATAAACATACTTTATTAGCTAAATATATTTTTGACAACATTAATAATAAACCATGTTATATTGGATACCGTTAAAGGGCGCTTATGAAAAATAATTATAGCACTTTTGCGATCTGACTGTAATAATAACGATAACACAATATGCCGCATAACTTAGCTAAATGTTGCGTGATCTAAGATTTAACATTGATTTCCTTCAAGTACAAAGCGTCCTTACTGAGGTTACTTTTTACGGAAAAACCATTTCATAATGGTTTGAAACAGAACCCTTGAAATGATTTTTATGTCAATAAAAAGAAATCTATATCTCAGAAAATAATTTACAATATTTTATAAATAATTTTTTAAGTAAGGAAAAACACTAAATAAGATTTTAATAATAATATTAGTTTATTTAAGAGAATTTTTATACTTCGAAAAAATATTGCTATTTAGAAAATTTAATTAATTCTTATCAAATCTCCAATAATGTTTGTAATCTCTTTATTTATTTATAGTCAAGTGATCTATGCCTTCTAACCCGGAAAAATTATCACCAACAGCATCAGGCTATATTATATTATAAACAAAGGAGGCATAATATAAGACACGATTTAAAAAACAATGTTTTTATATCTACCACCACGTGTCAAATATTACTAAATATAATCAGGATTAAAAAAAAAATAATCACAAATGAATTACACAAATTTCGTACTTCAATTAAGAACATTACGCGGCAAACTTGCTGTGTCAAAAACAGGTATGCCAAGACACGTGAATACCCTTCAATCATCGCCCTGAATCATTGGTTTGTTTTAATTGCATCTTTAACGCCAGCAAGGGCATTCTGAAGGAAACGTTTATATTAGTCATCATTTTTAATAAGACTGCGTGATAGCACCATCTTCGTAGATCACGTGTCTAAAACTGGTACTCTGTAACTCCCAAAATCAATCCCAACTTCAATACTGTGTTTTGTGTATTAATACTGAAGCCGAATTGGTACCTCACAAGATGTAATCACATTGATGGCCAGTTATGCGTGCTTGTATAACTTGTAGTATACGTAACTATTTACATACAATATAGAATATAATATATTACTAAATATTCTTCAATAAAGTAACACATTTTTGCAGGTATTCGGAATGCCTTGGGCTGTGATTGGTAGATCGGCGATCGTGTACACCGACAGTTTTCTCTACCTCAGCGGGTTTTTGAATGCCCACAACCTATTGCAAGATCTAGAGAAAAGGGGAACTATTGACTTTAAGAGCAGGCTCCTATCTAGATGGTTCAGGTATGGATTATTAGAATATCGCATACACACACAGATACTTATAAGAATATTATGAAGAAAAAATTTGTGGAACTTTTGTGAAAAAAAATCTGTAGCTCAACGAGTTAATTTCTCATTTCCCGATTCCACATTTTTGTTGGGATACACACTATATACTGGAATCGATATCTATCTATTCATTTCATAATACAAACTACGTATCCATACCTAAGGGCTTTAAGTATATATTTATGTATTCCTTGAACTCTAATGAAGGTTTTTATGGAGAGAAATAATGGAGAAAAAAACACTTTTATTAAGTACTCAGGTTTTTTCCGTAAAAGCGAACAGTCTCTATGGGATAGCATAGAAATGTCCCATATAGTCGTGTGTACTTAACAGGTAGGCTAAGTAAAAAGTCAAATTAAGGCGAAACGAAGTTCGCGGAAGCATCTAGTAAAAAAATCAGCGGCGCTACAACCTCTTGAGGTCTGTGCCTCAGATTTCTGAATCTGTTTCATGATCATATTTAAATGTAATAGGCAAGTAGGCGATCAGCCTTCTGTGCCTGACACACACTGTCGACTTTTTGGGTCTAAGACATTTCGTTTGCGAATGCGCGAATGTTAAATGCGCACATAGAAAAAAAATCCATTGGTGCACAGCTGGGGATCGAACCTACGACCTCAGGGATGAGAGTCTGAAGCCATTCTTCGATATTTCTTATAAAATATAAGTTGCAGATAACAAAACAGCACATTTAATGAGGTTTTAATTAATAAGATTTTAGAGTTATTTTGCTTATTAAACATCAAATCCAATGTTGCACTAACAATTATGAAATACAAATTCGCTTACACATTGAAATCCGATCAAAACTAAATTTGTTACGTCATTAGTATTTAACACGTGTGCGTTAAATCCAATAAACCGATTTTAACACATTAGTAATATGGGATTATTTTGCAATTACACCGGATAACATTTTATCTACGTTTAATCTGCTCGGAAGATACAATAGCTAGAAACATTTTTGCAGCTGATTTTCATGTTTTCAATAAGCAAATAGGTGATTAGGCTTTTGTGACATACGTTTGGAGCAATTGGAAAAATTGATCGAGGTTTAAAATCTCCGGCTTGAAAATAGTTCACTTAGCCACTTGTAGTATATATTGTAACTATATATTGTATTGTATTGTGTACTCCTATATACCCTAAAACATGTTATACACAAGTCTAGTAAAAGAAACGTTTAAGCTTTTCTGCATTTACCCCGCGTAAATAAACTTTCTTACTTTCAATATCTTGTTGCAATATTTTAATAAATTTATATATCCACCACCAAAATAAAACTGTGAAGTATTAACATGTATTGTAGAATCCTATTTTAGTTGCTAGGTTCTGCTTGTTCAGGTCAAACATATGCCAGCTCAATGTCAGCGCCAGTGAAGTGTGCATTTTAACGACCGTGAAATTGATGCTAAGACCTCTGTAGTCTCCTTCTAAGTCGAGTCTTATTTCAACTTTTCTATTTTTAAACTAATGACTCAGGTTTGGCTTCTCTGAGGAAGCGAAAATATATATAATGAAAGGAAAGACGAAACGATTTTGAGTTCCGTTTGATTGCTGAAAATTGGACGTGCCCAACGCGCCGTCCTTATGATCCGATATGAAACCATTTAACTACTCAACTTCAAAATTGTACAATGAAACAAATATTTTAACGGTTAGACTACACTTAACTGCAATATGCAGACTTTTTTCGAAACACATACCGACCACACCACATCATACACACAAAACGCACTTATATTTAACCACTTTCTTAAAAACAAAATTTTCACTAACGCTTCAAAACTGTATACATTCACTAACAATCTTAAAAAATATCTTTTAACCTGTCCGCTGAAACGGAAAATATTCTTATTCTGCAAAAAGTTTAATTATAAAATGTAAGTGCTATGTAGAAATTATTGTCAAGTACCGTTAACATATCAAATGGAAGAGACTAGCTAGTCTCTTCCATCTCTGTGACGTGGGCAGCTGCCCACGACACAGGGAATCCGAGTGTGAGGGCACTTTCATTTTAACTAAACACCTTTTTTTATTATATAAGGTTTTCTTTCTTAAGGCGATGAATAAGTTATAAGGCAGATTTACCGATTTCTTGCACTTAATCCACCTAATCTTGTATAATTAATACTAAGTCCTCCCTGTTTTCAGACTGTTTCCACTATTCTTGAGTCTGATGTTGTTCTGCACCTACATCCTGCCTGACCTCAACAACGGACCCCAGTGGAACCTGGTGGTGGAAGAACATGGCCGAGTTTGCGAAAAGAATATGTGGAAGAGTTTCCTTTTCATACACAACTACTTTGGATTTGAGGAAATGGTAACTATTACTTCTTACATAGAAAAAACAATGGCGCTACAACTTTTTAGGTTAGGGGCTCAGAGATTTCTGTATCTCTTTCGTAATCATTTGTTTTAACTAAAAGGCAAGTATGTGCATACAGCCTTCTGTCCTTGACACACGCCCCAGATTTTCCCACATTGTTTTCTCTTACCGTTCGAGTGTTAAATTCGCACATTGAAAGTCTATTCGCCGGGGTTCGAACCTTCGACAAGGATGAGAGTCGCACGCTGAAGCCACTAGGCATAACTGCTCAAGCAAGCAAGCAAAGAAAGGAAGATACATCTATCAGCCTCGCTTTTTGTTTGTATCTATTTCGTGACCATTTTTCTAATGGGGAAGGGTGATCAGCGTTCTCTGCCTGACGTGCTCCGGTTTGGGTCTAAAGCATGCTTAGCCTTACGATGTTCTCGGTGTTAAATACGTACAATAATGTGTTAAACATCAATAGCAAGAGGAAGTGTTAGAGCGTTTCATTGTTAAAAAACGGAAAGCCAATTAGCTAACATTGTTTTTATGCACCGCTAAAAACTATATTTACCGCAATAGGAAAATGAAAAACTTTAACAGATATTTTATAAAATAAATGGGAAAATTAATGAAAAACCAATGCAGAATCGAGATCAAAGATTCGCAATAGATAAGTGGGTGACACCAATAACTTATATAAGAGGCTGGGAACTGGTGCATATTGCAAAGCATTGTTAATAACGCCTGATAATTGATATTTGCAATGAGAAATTCATTCACCAAGAATTTTTCCATCCACGAATGAAAAAACTGTTGATTATTTATTATTATAAAATCCTTTAGCAGTGTTTTTTTCGAATATTCAAATAATTAGTTTTCACATTAAATAATATTTGAGGCAGAGTTGCAAGTAAAAACACTTAATAACAATCTCCTGTTCATTTGAACACTGTACCATACAAATTTACATTTTAGCAAACAAATTCATATCATAATTTTTCAAGCATACTAATGAACGCAGCTTATTTTAACGTCTTTTAATAAAATTAGTTGACTATTAAGGCAGCCACTAACATCAAGAATCTGTAGCGATACCTAAAATCTTGATCGACGATGACGAACGCGCTAACACTACTACCAATTTCTTTTAACAACTTTTTGTAGGACCTTTTCAGCAAATTCCAAAAAGATGCCTTTTAACCTAATGTTGAACATTATTTCCTTTAAATTTGTCTCTGTTACTTTTATTCCCATAGCTTGTTCAGTGTTATACCTGTCGTATCCATACATTGGAGAGTCGGTCAGAACATGTAACACCGTCTCTTCAGCTGTATTACAAGGACAGGCAGCACTTTGTCTAACCCTGAACTGGGTAGTCAGTTGTATGACTGGTAGTCCATGTCATCAAAGGTCGCCACATCATCCCTCACCACAAAACCCAACCAAATCTGTTGCTTACTTGCAGACGCTTATTGCAATTGCTAGAATTTTTTTTGCAGCTGCACAATATTTCATTTTTAAATACTTGCTCATTTCCCTCACAACACTATATACGGTTACTGTCGTGTCCATCTTGAAGAACAAGGATTTCTAAGAACAGGCAAATCTGTTGGTGGAGTTGACTCCATGAAGTTGGGTTTTAGTGGGTGATGAACAACAGCACTAGGAAATCACGCCATGGCGATGGCCTGATGATGGATGGTCATGGAAGGCGTATGATATGGGCGTATTCCTTGCTCCTCTCGGTAGCTCGGAAACGGTGGTAACTAAGATTGATTCAAAATTCCTTTGTAAAAGATATTTGAATAAAAATGTTTTGTTAAGTCAAATGTAATGAGTGTTTGAATACCATTAGTGATGTTTGACCTTATTCGACGATGTTCTTAACAAAATAGATGGACACGAGACCTTCAGTGTAAATGGTCTACTGGCTAATTGCAACTTTAAATTTTATCCTTCAAGTAAGGTCGGCTAAAATTAACTTTCAATAGGCTAAGGTTGCGAATTCTTTAAAACATGATAATTGCTTCGTCATGATTAAAGTTAACAGCAGGCTTTGGAAATACTTTTTTGGAGTTAATATTTATTTTTATAATTTTTTTTAAATGTTTTCCTATTAATTAGCTTTAAGACACAAAGCCCATGTTAAAGCAGTATAAAGCTTTAGTAAGCGCGCGATTCTAAACTCTGTAGTCGTGTAATCGAACTCTGCTTGTGCACTAATGAATTTTGTTTATGAGCAATTAAGTCTTGTTCGTACAGTAAAATAAATAGTGGCATGTTTTAGACAAAATATCGATACCGAGTGTCAGGCACAGAAAGCTTACTGGAAAAATATTATTAAAACAAATGCGAAAATAAGAGCCTCTATCTGGATTTCTTGTTCGCAAACAACAACTAATTATAAACCTTTGAATACACTGTGAGTCAATAAGGTCAAAATATCTTTAAGCGCCATCTAGCGGTTGTTTGAATTACTAATGAACATGACAAAAATCTGCTTTCTTTGTCTCTCAGGTCAAGACCGAGGTTGTAGCGCAACTGGCTTTTTAACAGATACACATAATTCTTAGTTGAGAATCGTTTATAAGTAGTGTTTTGTTAACATTTCAGTGTCTCACTCACACCCATCAAATAGGCATTGACATGCAATTGTACGTGGCAACGTTCCCTCTGATGCTCATTCTGTGGCGGTTCCGACGAACTGGTCTTGCGCTAATTGTGGCCATTGCAGCAGGTTCTACGGCACTGAGGTATTTGGCCATACACTGGTATGACATCAGCATGTTCGTCTACTATGGAATATCGTGAGTATAGAATACTTATAAAATGCAATTTTAACATAGTTTGTGTTCCAATATTAGACTATTAGGCAGACATATACAGAGTGTAAAATTTTTTTGTACAAGCCCTTTTTTGTCAACTTAAAAACAAAATTCCGAGACGCGATTAGAGGATATTATAAATAGGGTATTATTTAAACCTGGTATAAAATATGGTTAGTTAATAAAAAATATTTTTAATTTTTTTAAATCGCCTTTAGTTTATGTCCAAAAATGCTTCGGCTTTGGAATAATAAAAACGTATATCAAAATACATTTCTCGTTTTAGTTCTAAACAAAAACCACTTATCCCTATTATTAACTCTTAATTATCGCTAATATTATCCTAATATTCGGCAGAGTATCAAAGTTACTAGACGCAGCGAGGTATTCCTACATTCTTCCAACACACCGAGCAACCATTTACCTCATCGGAGTCTTGATGGCGTATTTCATCAAATCCAAAAAATCTCGCGTCAATCTCAGTGATGTAAGTTTACTAATTTAACTACATGCAATTGATATCTTGTTAAGCATAGCATTTCCGTATCAGTATCATATTCCTCTGTGTAACTTGGTGTCTGTCTTTGTATTAATATTAAAATTTCATTATTTATTATAAAATAGGTTGTCATTTTTTTACTGTTATCTCTTTAGTTTCGTTAAATATAGTAGGTACCTTGTCTGGAAAACATCGGTTAGTAGCGATAAGCCGTTGCACCACGTTTTTCTTTCTTTTTTAAAGTACATTGTTTATATTATTATTCACAAATTTTAAAATTAATTTATAAATTTCATACAAATTTTCATTGACAAAGACATGGAAGCTTATTCGATGTCGTGATATGAATTAGTGATGCATCACAGTTAAGGCCGACTTAGAGCCGTGGCAGTAATATTAAATTCTAAGGATTTGTTTTTGTTTTCTAGACTCAATCCAGATTAGTATGGTTCGTTTGCTGGTCAGTAGCGGCCTTCACAATAGCCAGCCCTTACAAAATGGGTCTTGAAGGGTACAACTATGAGCACTTCCAGGCCGCTATGTTCGCTGCGTTTGCGCCGATATTATGGGGCCTCTTCATGAGTATTGCCCATTGGGCTATTTGTAATGATTATGCAGGTATGCGGTATGATATAAATCAACTTGTAATCTACTTACAGTTTATAAATATCTGAGAAATAGAGTTTTAAAGTAATTACAACATTTCTGTATTTTATTTTTGTACATATGATATATGCGTCTCGCTCTTCTTTAATGTATTTCTTTAAGTGTTACAAACATAGTACAATTATAATAAGACTATAAGAGACAGGCTAAAGTACTGAAACAATGTTGGCGTTGCATAGCACATATACGAATAACTTTGAAGAATACTTATTGTATTTTAATTTAATTGGTTGTTAAAAAACAGGGTTTTAAGTAAGTTGATTTTCACTTTAAATATTTTCGTTTGAGGTATTGGTGTCAGATCTAAATTAGTCTGTTTTAACTAAACTATTATTTCGTCTCTTTCTTTCAAATTATGTTTACGATGTGATAGAGAAAGATTAGTATATTACTTCTATATAACTATTTATATATTCAAAAATAGGATGGAGACTAACGCACAAATAGTTTCAGTAAATCTTTCTTTTCAAGGTATCGGAACGTCATTCGTAGAGTCGCGAGTGTTCAAGTTCTTCAATAAGATCGCATACAGTGTCTACCTAACTCAGTTTCCCATATTCTTCTACAATGTTGGGGTCCAAAGACATGCTGAGTACTATTCTCCTTTCTTACTGGTAAGGAATCACTACATTACGAGTTATGTTATATTATATGTTATGTGATTGTTACAATCCATATGATAATTCAAATTTTAATACAATAATTAAGTACTGTGTGAGAAACTGGACCATATTTGGTAGGTCGTAATGTACCCAATTCGATTGATAATTTGAAAATTTATTTAAATTATTTGGATGTCGAATTTCAAATTTTTATAAATTATGAAAATTTAGTTACTGTGTTTCGTAAACAATTTCCTAGTGATTTCTTCCTGGAATATACATTTCTTAAGAGAATAATTCAATTCTTTTATATTACAAATTATGGTATATTAAAGGTTGGGAAACACTGATATAAATATTTATAGCTAATATAGATATTTATAGCTAGTGTAGATCACTGCTATATTTTCCTGTATTGAAGTATTTATCATCGGGTACATTTAAACGAATCATAATAGGGTTTGTGAAAACTGTATAAAATTGCCTAGTTCTGAGTTAATTGACGCGCGAATGCTTTAAAATTATAATATTGCTAACGCGAATAACACAAATTTAAGATCAACAATAAAGAATTTGAAATATGTTTTCTTAATGCTTTCAATTCTTCTGGTCAAGTTTCCAAAAGTAAACCCAATTAAAAGTTCGTAATAAACTTCCAAATTCCGGTGAATCAAACAAAAGAATGTCCATTCACTCTGTTAAAGTAAAATAAACTTTGATCATTCGGGGTCTTAAGCTATGCTAAGTTTTAAAATTATTTAACAGTCCATTGTTTAGGATTCTCTGTTTCAGTATAGAGTTTGTAAGTTAATTACTATTTTTAGAAAATACTTATCAGTAAAAGCGTCATTAAAAGAAGCCTAAATTTATATAATATGTTTTGCCATAAAACAAGACTTGAAAATTAATTCAATTAAGAACACATTAATGTTTTTATTGCGCTTAAAATAATGCGAAGTGCAAACAGCACGAAACGTAGGGATTATATTCCATTATCTTCTTCTATTTTCCAAACAAATTGTGTGTGTTATTAATTTAATCTGTTTATGTGTTCCTTTAGTAGTATTAAAATTACTAATTAAATTAAATATTTTTTAGTCTAATTGCAATTTGCATTAGGCGTCATCGATATAATATTTTGCTTTCTATTCTGCTATTAGAAGCTCTACTATGACCAGCGTTTTTGGTATAATTTGTTATTTATTATCGGTTATAGAAATTATTATATTTACAAAATATATACAACTATGTATTCTTACAGATTCAGGTCCCAGAGATGGCAGTAGTGCTGGTGATATCTATAATGGCAACCGTCGCCATTGAAATGCCTTTTAACCAAGTGTATAGGATATACTTCGGTGAGTGTTTCTGACAATAATATAAGAAAGCGTATACAATATTAAGTTTATTTAAACTGATTTTGATGACCGGAAATAATAAGAATTTAGGCTTTTTAACCATTAAATTATTAGTCCATGTTTTAGGTTCGAAATACAAACGAAACGGTCTTTTAACTAATGAGTACTTTAGTTAAAATATAATTAAAGGTTAATTTCGTTTTTATATATAAGAGGTAAACATTTTATAAAATCACTGCTATAAACGAGAATATAGATTAACTAAAAAAGATCGCTGTATAAACATTTTCGTATTATTTTTCAGGAAACTCACAGACAAAGATAAAGGAGAAGTGAAATAAGAAGACTTGATTGTTATATTTAGCTTAAGCCAAACATCACGCTATTATTTTAACTTTTTGTATTATTATTATAAGTATTTATAAGTTAATAAAAAACTAAAATCTTTATTTTCCTTATTTAATTTATTGAGATCGCAATAAATATATTATTAACCTTATTTACTACATACATTCCATAGAATTAACACGTTCAAACGGACTTCAATATAGGATTTACATTATTTGAAAAAAAAAATGCTTAACAAATTTATATAACATTTAAAATACAATAAACCTGTGTGAAGTGGTAAAACATGCGAAATTAAAAAAAAATGTGTGTTTAACCTCCTATAACCTCCTAAGTACAATTGTTTTTGTAGCTTTAACTAAATCTATTGGCATGAAATACTTTTAGTAATATTATATTAATCATACATTACTACAGATAAAATCAGTTGTGGACACATTTGTCTATGTTCATATTATGTAAGATCAGCATCTGCCTGAGTTTTTATATATTTACACTTATACCAGTAAAAAGTGTTTGCTTAGCAAACATTAACGGACACGCTAATTTCAATAAATACAAATCACGCGTATAATACATAGTTACAGTTACAAAAAAAAGACGGGTTGCACTCCGGGAGTGCCGGCTAAAGTGAAAACTTGAATATTAACGTGCATTTTTGATATTTTGGAATGGTTAGGGAATAATTTTGCACGAATTGCTTTAATTATCAGTATAAAAGTACTATCATTTATGTGGTAGAATACAATATTTATTTATTGCGCTATGGTACACAAACATGACAATTTATATTACATTAAATACGCCGCGCCAGCTGTCTACTCTCCATCCGTCGTCAGTCTGAGCAAATCGTTAATAATAAAGCTTTAGACGTTTCGCAAAATTAAACCTTGAGGTATTGACTTAAGGTCCAATTCCACATGCATCAATGTATCTGAGGAAAGAGACAAATGAATTTAAACCGTAACTATATAGCACGAAGGCTCATAATCCTTTAAAAAAACATGCGTCTTACGAATTTTCGGTCAGGTCACGTGTCCTGACGCGAGTTTAAATTTTTTTACGTATTCCAAAAAAGGCAACGCCGCTAAAGAAGTTTTCACTTCAAAAATATTTATCAAGTCCGACTTTCTTATACAGTTGGAGAATACACATAAAGAATGAGTTTCAACTCGTTAAAACTGTATTAAAATTTGACTATGAAGATATTAATAATCAGTAATTCAAATCAATCCTTTAAGCATTTGCTGTCAGCTGGACAGTTCTGTGCAATAAGTGTCAGGACGACATTGACATTTGACACTCCCAGTGTTATCTCTAACGAGCCAAGCTCCCTCCGAACAAGGACCCTGTGTATGTAAAATATGGCAAGTGTTTCCATATATCGCTGCTCCGGGCTTCGATAAACACGTTATCACCTGAAAAGGGATATTCTGAAATATATTATGATATTTGTTTTTCAAAAAATATATGAAGTTAAGATTTGGGCACTACAACAAAGATATCGCAAGCGATTTTGACGTTATTGTATGCAATTTCAATTTAGTTTTTTCAATGACGTCGCAAGCTTTATCCCGCGCGGTATAAGAACACAATAGGTGTAATTTTGGAAATTACAGAGTACCGGTGCTGAGGTTCCATATTTTCCTGGCAGGTGTTTAAACTCACCTTCTTCCGAAGGCACATACTCCCAGGTCCACAAGCGCAGACCCCGTTATGACTCAGTCCATCTACTGCTGGTCGAGCCTCAAAGTCGAAAGACAGGACTTCGCCTATCGGACACGGTTCTGTTGCCCCAGGCCGATAGCAGCGACGGCGCTTTGGAGAATAAAGACGACCTCGGGCACATGGCACCTGGAAAATTGTAATTTGTGACAGACGGACAATCTGAATAGCCTTAAATCTGTTTGCATCAGTTTGCGCTACAACCCTTAGTTTTGGCTTCAGGTTTCGTGGTATTTTTCTCTGAATAGTGAAAGTAGAACTAAGGCAATTTCTGCATAATGATTTCCGTACAAGCGAAACGCTATCTAAAGTTAGTAATTCTTTTTTTGGCAAAAGTTATACTTTTCTTTAATAAATTCCCAGAGGCTCTTTTAACTCTGTCTTTTAATAAATTTAAGAAATTTATTAAAGGAAAGCTGTGTAAATAAGCTTACTATAAAGTTAACGATTATGTAGTTGATAAAAGGGCCTGGGACTAGTGCTAGACAGGCTACTTCTAATTAATTTGCGATATTTATTTTATAATAAGTGTTGTTTGATGATTTGCTATTTTAAAAGAGTACCTAGAGTTTTTTACGCCGGCTTTTTCTCTCGGCCTAAACCCACAGAGGGTTCTTTGCCGATGAGTAGGGATGTCTACCTATTCAAATTTAATGACGTTTTAATAAGTGATACCTGTATCTTATGTTCCATAATAAACATATTTTATTTTTTTATTTTAAGACGGACAGCTTAATATGCTCATTCAAACCGTGTCGGTGGTATTTCCAAACTCCCATAGAAAAACTTCACTAATCAGGAAATCTTTTAAAGGCATTAAACACTCATTATTTTTAGCATTAAAGAAAACTTAAAGAAAAACAAGAAATGTTTACCTTAGTACAGCGTCCATCTCTCATAATCATCTCGTCCTGAGCACACGGTCCCCTCGTGTACATCCTGTAGCAGGCCCCGTCCGACGCACGCGCATGAAACGATTTGCATTTGCACTCGGCACGGGAGCCTTTAGAGGACACTTCCGTTATCGAAAACGTATGGCCTTTGGGACATGGTCCGGCGGAATCTGAAAAGTGAAAGTAGACATAAATATTAGATTTTGTCAAGTCATGTGATGTTACCTTCTGAACGTACTAAATACGCTAAAATAAGATTTTAAAGAAATAATATGCTCTAATATGTTTTAGAGGGCAAACGGGCAAGAGCCCGTTGCTAGAAGGCTCGCAAGTGCGAGGCCGACCATTTAAGCATTAATTCCCTCTACTGAAGGACCCTATGTCGAATTGGAGTAGGTTATATATTTTATTTTTTAATAAATTAAGAAAAACCGCTTTGGCAATTGTCTGAGACAAAAAGTAAAAGTTTGAATAAAATATTATAATTATTACGTATCACTAACTTTGTATTGAACTATATTAAGAACTAATACGAAAAGTTTGATGGGTCTAAATTTATGTATACATTTATTTTTTTGTACAGTAAAACTTGGAATATTTTAGTAAGTTATCACGAAGCAACCATAGGTATTGAGAATGAATTTGATATAAATAAAGCCGCTACAGTTACTCTATATAATGCGCGTGAAATATGCCCAAACTGGTAAAAAGGTTAGACTTGAGATTATTTTGTTTTGATATTTTTAAAGCGTCAAATTTCCTCATTCTTCAGTTATTTTCAATTCGGTAACAACTTTGATATTAAAATTCACATTATTATATAATTTCTGATGTGAATTATATGAACTTTTGTTTAGACAATTAAGTATTATTATTTTTTGTAATATCGTTTTCAGTGACGTTTCTCTACACGAAAATTGAAACAGATAAAGATTAACTTACCTAATTCATAACATCCCTCAGTGTCATTATGATAATGTGGAAGATGGGATGCGCAACCACACTTCGACCCAGGAAGAAAAAGCTGGCCCGTCTCGCATGGACCGCGAGAGTAGTGCGCGTAACAGCTGTCATCTGGAGCCCAGTAATTAGAACTGTCTTTGGTACACTGAAAATTTAAAAAAAATATTTAAAGGTATGTTAATAACTAATTGTTTATTAGCACCCAGAGACAGTGAAAGACTTCCTAGGATGCAATATTTATTAATAGGCCTCCTTCCTTAATGTAATAATGACCTACTTTCCTGAATTAAATAATCAATGACAGGCGAAGATTGTCCAGTTAATTCCCAAACTTACGGAGTTTCAAAGAGACAACTGAAGACTTACTTTATATACAAATTTTTGGTAAAGAATATATGAATATTTGGTTAACATTGTATAATTAGACTAAATTTGTTTTCTTGAATACGATAACGGTTTGAGCGGTTCTAGTGGTGCGAATTTAACAATCGATGGTACGGTGAAGCTAACCATCGTTAGGAAACCTCTATTCTTTAGAACTAAGAGGTCGACGGCGTCTATCACAGAAGGCTGATCCCTAATTAAGGAAAAAAACGTGTGTGTACTTATGTACAAGCGTTAGAAGTTATACTTCTTTGGCTTAACAACATAAAATCTTTTCAAAAACTTTATCTTTCGCCTTATTCTTTTACAAAAATCTACCTCTACCTTTATAGAAAAATCCACACGAACAATAGAACCAAAATTACTCTTATAAATTCTTCCTAATGCGCCAAAAGAAGTATAACTTTAATAAATCTAAAATGTTTACTATAGCTAACTTCAGGGTGTCGGTTTTTTTGTGTGCGCGCGCATATAAGTTTACTCTCATCATTTTTCCCTAACGCACCAAAAGAAGTATAACTACAAAAAATTGTGCGTGTACTAGGTGTACACACGTAAGAAGTGAAACTTCTTTATGATCTTATTTTTCGAAAAATGATCTACTATATGCAACTTTACAGAAATTCGTTAAATTAGATAAAGTTTAACAAAAGGCTTTTATTATCATAGACATGAATACAAATATTTCATTTTACCTTATTACTACGAAGATTATTATAGAATTTCATTAATTGTAATAGAATTATTACTATCATTGAAAAACGTGACGATTTGCTACAAAATTTCTCCCATACGTCGATAAAGAAGTTTCATTCCAACGCCGATAAAGAAGTTTGACTTCAAAAAGCAACATGGCGCGTAGCCGAAAAATGTGACGCGTAACGAAAAAATGTTACACTAAATTTTTTTCCTACCTCGATAAAGAAGTTTCACTTCAAAAAAATATTTATTTTTGTTGTAGCGCCAATATTTTTTACTATACTGGGACAGCGAGATTCTCACTCACTAGCAAACTGTTAGGAAAACGTTAACCAAAATGATGAATACAGAACCTACTAGCTAACAAATTACACATAAATGTAAATTTACAAAATATGTCAGTAGTAAAATCACGCACGGTACAGTTCGCAAGGCCATCCTTCCCAACTTGTAGAATAGAGCCTAAAAAGCATGGCCCCTGAGTCATCCTATAGTAACAGTGGTCATCCGGTGGCCAGTAGACCAAGGTCTCGTCAGCGCATTGCTTCGGCCTTACGCAGATGCCTTGACGTTCACTGGAATACGAAATGGGGAAATTAGTATTACAAATCCTCTAATTTCCTTATTCGGCCATCAATGTACGATACAACAATTTGTTATGTAACACAATTCTTATATAACATTTTTCATTAATTTAACGGTATTAATAATAAATAGTTCTATTTTTAAACATTTTCAAAAACCCGCATTGTTTATTGCTTTTTAAGAACAGCAACAGCAGTAGCAAGGTAGAATTTGTATTCGTTTTATGGCTCTAATCAATTATGTACTTCAGTTTCAACATTTTTGTCACTTTGCTCGTAGATTTCACAAAACACCGTCAGGAAATTAAACTATTAAGCTCATTGTAAAAAATACTTTACAAATACAAGCCTGACAAAGCAATTTGATAAACAATTTATCATTATCTTTGATGAAACTCTTAAAATAAACAAAAACAAAACTTTAACTACTTAAGGCCTATATGACTGTAGGTGATCACAAGTCCCTTGACGTAGTATATTGAAGGATGATGCTTACCTACCCTCTCTTTTTGAAGGATTCCTCCACTGGGGCAAAGTACTCGCCAGTCCTACAGGGTCCCCTCTCAAACAGCTTGTGACAAGTTGTAGAGTGGGGCAATTGGGCAGTACCAGGGGGGCACTTGCATTCGGCAACTGTCATTGCCCCACGTCTACCTGGACTTAGTTCTTGAGTGTCGGGACATGGGTGTCCTTTCTGGAAACATAAAGAGATAATCAGTTTAGTAATAATATTTAATAAAAATCTAAATAAACTGTTGTACTGATTCTTGCTTACATTGGATGCGGAGTCGGGTATAAAATTTTCTTTTATTTTCTACATAAAGCCTTTTATCTCCTATTATTTAATTTTTGAAATAATTTATTATAATAATTTAGGTATAACTCACGGAACAGGCAGATCTTACCCTGTACACATGTCTAAATACAATTAATACCTACAAAAAAATCATCAAACTCTAAATCTAAACCAAATTTCACTTGAATAAAGATTTATTTTACCCAAAGCTGTTATTTTATTAATAAAGCTATGATTTATTTTAATTAATATAATTGCCATGAGGTAACATTTCGTAGGAAAAGGCTTTCTCCAACCCCTTCCAAAGTTCCTTTTCTTGGGCTTGCCTGGCCCACGTGCCACAATAATTTCTACATAAAAATCCAAAAAAGCTAGCTTCAAATAATTACATTACAAGAGATTTTGAATTGTTTCTGAATTCTGATGTAAATACATATATTGTAAATTCGCGTTACATACACTTTCTATGCATAGCACTGACGTAAGGATTATGTCAATTTAAAGGTTTTCAAGTCAAAGCATATTTAAACAAAACGAAATCACGCCCCGGAAACCATGTCTCAAGCATAATTGAATAAAATACAATTTCTTGTCAATTTTAACTCTTATACACTTGAAGATAAAGACTGCGATTTGGCCAGATTTTATCAACGTGAGCGCGCGTGATGCATAAAAATATTATTTGTACTGTTAACCTGCTTTTACGTGTGACGAATATCTTTTTAGTATAACTACATCAATAAAGGGAAACAGAAAGTTAAAATATTAGTTCGTAATATAAACTGAAAGCAAATGTTAAGGAACCTGTGATACACAGTCGTACTCGTCCTTTAAACTCAATGTCTAATTAATTAACAACTGATTTAGAATTTGCTTAAAGAGTAAACAAAAGTTTGTACAGATACCGGCAAACTTCTTGAGCATTAAACAAGGGAGTGGGGGAAAGTTTGCGCATCGTACACAAACGCGGGACACAAACGTCAACTGATTAACTAATCACGCGATCGACACCCGCCGCCGCGCCCCCTCCCAGTGATACCTAAAAATCCCTTTACCGTGACCACGCACGCTGTAAAGCACGCGAAACGTCGGATAAATTTAAAATTATGTTAAATAGTTGTAAATTTATAATAATACATAACTTCAATCCGGTCAAAATAGTGTTTTATTAAATGAATAAAAGTTATGTTAATCAAAGACAATACCTAAAAATCCCTTCTGCGCAGGCAAGGACATATTTTGTTCAAGATGTTTGCCGGTATCTGTACCTACTTATATGAAATACCTATAATCATGTTTTTCATTTTTCGTTATTTGATAAAATTCTACTATTCTGATTCATTTCAGACTTACTTACCTAAGTATATCCTAATTTTGAGATATTATGTCACTGATAGTCCCTGAATAGGGACTAAAATCACTAAGCCCGTGACTTCAGGTTACCAATTCGAAATTTTAGGCTGGACACCTAAGAAAATTGTAAATGAAGACACTAGATTCGCGAATACTCAAACCCTACATTATAATTCTTATTAACCTATGAGCTACGGAGACAGTTGTCGTTACAACATAATGACCTGTAAATGACCTTACACCAGGAAGCCTGTATATCTTGGTACTGTCTAGTTTTATCATTATTACGTCACGCGGAAACCGCTGAATGTATTTCAATAGAACTTTCACTGGAGCTTGTAAGTCCTATATAGGTGAATGTTAAAATAATCCTGTTAGTGTAGATAATATTTGAAATCGTTTCATTATTTCAAATGCATATATTTCGTTACGAGATACATAAAAACAAAAAAAAACTGTGGCGCTTTATTCTTGGTTTCAGATTTCTGAATCTGTACCGTGATCATTTATTTTTCTTAATAGATAAGTAGGTGATTAGCCTTCTTGGCCTTTTGTGATGGGCCTGGGTCTGGGCTATTGACGATGTTTTTCTTCAACGTACGAGCGAATGTTGAATGCTCACATAGAAACTCTATTTATGCAAAGCCGGAGATCGAACCTACGATCTCAGAGTCATACGCTGAAGCTAGGCTAACACTACCCACACACATACATAAAGTCTAAAATATAAATAAAATATGTTTATTATGGAACATAAGATACATGTATCACTTATTCCACGTCATAAAATTTGAATTTGTAGGCATCCCTACTCATCGGCAAAGAAGACAGAGGGTGTAGGCCGAGAGAAAGAGCCGGCGTAAAAAACTCTCGGTGCTCTTTTAAAATAGCAATTCATCTAGAATATATGAAGTGCACTTTTTTCGTATTTCTTATTGTTAGTCTACGTCTTGGATGTATTAAAATCAATTCGTTTAATCTCACGAAGAACATTCATTTATCTAAAGTAAGCTTATTGTTTCATAGAAAAAATTAAGTAATACAAGGTTTTTAAAAATTATTAAGGAAGTCACCTTGTACCTCGAAGGTCGATATTATTCCTAGATCTCCTATCATGTAACCATCCACTTCCGCAACTACAAAAGCACATCGTATTGTATTATAAAACCTACTTTTCATTTTATTTACGACATCACACGAATTACTTTTAATGGTCAATAATTGTTTGCACAATAAACATTACATATTTCACTTAAATGTTTGGTCAATTCTTTAATTCCAGTTTTAAACTGCCTGTTGCATTTATGTCTGATATTGTATTTATGAAAAGAAGTGTTAAAAAAATAAAACTAATTATTTAATTACTAATTGTGACAAAAAGTCAACCTACTTCAATCAAGAATCACACATTACACGCATAGAAATACGATTCAATGAAAAATAGCCCATAAATTACATAAAATAATAATAAGAAAAACAATCCATTCTCTCTTTTTTTTTAAATCATTTTCTGGCGTCGTGCCGTTTTCTTGAAAATGGATAAAATTTAAGTTCGCCCTATAATAAAATCTTTGCTTGAAAATGTTTACTACGGAGCTGGTAACTCAAGATTCATGCTTGTCCATATTCTACGGTTGCGCAAGTGTATGCTGAGTTCAAGGTAGTAAGAACTTCCAGTGAGGACCCCGCATGGGACGCCCTATATCGGTAGTAACTGCACAAATGATTTTAAAAATTAAAAACATTCTCTTTTCGGATCGTCGGGTTACTGTTTGTTTTATGACCGAAGAATTGAATATTTCTATAAGAAGTTTCCATAATAATTTTACACAACCATTTGGGTATTAAAAAAGTGTCTGCGCGCCCAGAATGCTTTCTGACGCGCACTAGCACAACAAACGAGCAAAGCTGTTTGGATTTGTTGGATGAACAACACTTGATTCCACAACGAACTGTGGTCGAAATATGGTTTTCCGCGGTTAAAGGAACATCTCAGCTAGAAATTAGAAGTAGTCGCCGCGGTAGACGATTTTTATGGGATCATGAAGATTTTTTTAAAGGGAATTTTAGCTTTAGGGCTTTACAGCAGAGTTGGCCTAGTGGCTTCAGCGTGCGACTCTCATACCTGAGGTCGTAGGTTCGATCTGTGCACCAATGGACTTTCTATGTGCGCATTTAACATTTGCTTGAACGGTGAAGGAAAACATCGTGAGGAAACCGACATGTCTTAGACCCAAAAAGTGAATGTGTCAGGCACTGGAGGCTGATCACCTACTTGCCTATTAGATTTAAAAATGATCATGAAACAGATTCAGAAATCTGAGGCCCAGACCTAAAGAGGTTGTAGCACCACTGATTTGTTTTAGCTTTAGGCATACAAAGTGAAAAAGAAAGGTGACTACGATAATTGGGTCATACTCATTATCACTTTTTATTGAAGAACCCTAGTCCGTTTATGAAGCAACAGCATTTCCAAAAAGACAATTGACAATAGGAAAAATCAACATTGTAACACGTCAAGCTGTCAGTTATCACAATGGTGTTAAACTTAAGTGCAGTGGGTCAACGTATGTCATAACAGAACGGTCACGGTCTTTCATAAACGAATTGAACCGGTCTCGGGGCTTATCGTTTTCTATTGAATCCTACTAATTTTGGAGACAACATTAATATTTAAATTACAAATCTGACCTGGCCTCGTTTTAAACGACTGCGTATTGATTTGAGGTTACAAACGGAAAGTGTGAGGCCCATCCAGAACATCAACCGAACTTATATCTAGTTCCTTGAGCTGTACATCCAATTTTTCTGTATGAAGTTTTAAGAACATATTTAACAAAGCACTCAAATATAGTGGTTGAATGGGTTCCTCATTTGTTTTGACTAAATGGAGTAAGTCAATTATGTTAAATGCGCCTTTTTATACTAGTTATCCTCTTCATATAGATATTATCGTACAAAGAGCATTTCTGATAATCGATAACTAATTAAGATTACATCTGAATCTGGTATATAATACATTCTTATTATATTTTTTTTAAACGCCGCTATAAATATAACTGTAAGTGTATCTGGCGTAAATAATTAAAGCTTTGGCTTACCTTATAAATCGTGTAGCATTTTCCGTCACTAGGCCAATATAACATCAACCAGCCCCGAGGATGTGCAGCACATGGGTTACTTTGAACATCTGCCCATGGTGGTGGTAAAACTGCGGCTTTACATAATACCACCAACAAGAAAAAAATTCCCTCCTTAATCCAGCTATCCATATTAAAGTGTCAATTTTCAAATTTCAATCACATCATAAATATTAGCGGACATTCGTCGTTCGAAAAATGCCGTTCCAATTTCAAATTATTTCATATTTGATAAATAGTTTATTATAGTCTTTGTAGAGCTAATTTAAAAAAAAAAGATAGTTGATTTGTCTAGTCATAAACAATAAACACTCTTTAATTACATGCCGGCAAATCACGTTCCGCTTTACTCACTTCCTTATATGAATTTGTTTTAATAGGTAATTAAACTAATTTAATTTTGAAAGAACAAGCTTTTTATTTTTAAGATCATATTAATGGCAGATGTTTAAAATTATTACGTAAAATAACGAACAAATAAATTGTATGTATTCACTATGTAATAAGGTTATGTAGATATTAAATAACGATATGTAATAGGAAGAAATTTGTGTCAATTCGTTCTGAGAATAATAAAGTTATTTCAATATACAAAGCGTGTGCACTTATGTTAATCTGTGACAATGCCTTAACAATAGGTGTTATATTCAAAAGTGTAACGGTTAGCCCATGAAGTCGAAATGTCGAAACGGCAATTATATTAACCCAGTTATTTCCGAGATTGCGTTAGATACCGTTGAAGCCTATAAGTCTAAATCTAAATTTAAATATAAATCATATTATACAAGAAGACCGATTTTTTAATAGCGAACTAGCTCAGAACGATTGAATTGACATTTTTAACAAAAATTGTTGACAAATGGTTTTAGTCAAAATATATTTGATTTCACAAAAAAAATTAGGTCAACATTGGAATTTGAATACTAAACTTGAAAACGCGTCTAATTTTTTATTATTATTTAGTCAGAAATTGTAAAAATATTACGTAAGTATAGAAAAATATATCACATTATATGAATTAACCTACTTCCTAAATAACGATTTTTTAATTTTTTCACTAAGCCAGTTTTTCACTAAAGTTTACGCACCGATGGTAACATGCGGTTACCGACGTGTATATAACACCGCGTCCAAACGTCTACTGCTAGTGGTCCGAAGCCGCTGGGGCTTCATCAACCACCTCCTACGTTGAGGATATTAGAAGCTTACGACTATAACAACATTTAATTACTGATAAAGATCAATGTTAGCCTTCTAGGCTTTTGCTCTTGAACTGAGGTTCAAAGCATAGTGCTGCAATGAATTTCTCTTTCTGCGCAATTAATTCTTGCTTATACGGAAAACATCGCCACCAACAACATGCAAAAATCAACGGCGTGTGTCAGTCACTGAGGTTCACCTACTTGTCCATAAAAATCACAACGAAAAATGTACACTGTCGTGAGAAGCTGAAGGACTTACTACGCTCCTTTTTTTTTTGTTTACAAGATTACATATTTTGTTTTCTTTGTGTCTTGGACAAAGGCCACCTCCAAACTCTGCCCTCTCTTTATGATCACTATGAAGCGGCCGTTAATATTTTTTTTTAATTTAGGACGTCATTGCATATGTATAAATTAACAACATACTTAGTTTTACTTGACGATGAGTAATAAGTGTTGTTATACTTTTCGGTTACCACAAAAGCTAAGTCTCACTTGACTTACATATAATTTATAAACTATTAATAATATAAACCTAACCAAAATCTTTAACTATGGAGTCATAACACTGCGGAATTTTGACATTTACCAACATATTTTAATAAATAACGAACCAGTGAATAAGTGAAAACAAACATCCCTTATGTGTCGGGTGTCGACAGCCGGAGCTTGGAACATGTTTATTTAACTTATTAACTGGTTTTAAATTTTTTCATAGCTTCAAACGTCAGATCCTTACCTGATTGTTGACATTGCGAGCATGCCGCCTCAGCTAACAACCTTTAATAGTTTGAACAGGGTGAATGACTCCAGAAGAGGATACATAGTGAATATTTTTTATGCCCATACAAGTTTATGAATCGACAGATGAAAGCTTTTCTTATAAACAGAGTACATTATTTTTTATACGAAAACTTTTACTTACCTTTCATCACATTAAATTTTTCGTATAACTTTCACTATCGTCTAAAAAACATAGATGCAAGGATCATAAAAATTTTCGTTATTCTAATGTAACCAAGTTATGAGAGTTGAAAACGACTTATATGTTTGGTTTCGCTTTATGATAATAATAAACAGAAGCTCTAATCAGGGAGTATAACTTAAATAATAACTTAAAATTGTGACTAAAGCATAATATGGCTGGAAATGAATTAGCTAAATACACATAATTTTACGTACGGCCACCTAATTCAGACGTATTGCAACACCGATTAAAAGTTTAATCTATGTAGCACACAACCGAATTCTGCAATCGATAAATGTATTTCAAAACCAAATTTGCAGTTACTTTTCTATAGTATCTCATTTTGTAACGAACGTGTTTAATTGGCCAATAAGTCGGCTAGACCGCTGTAAAGTTATCAATCTGACAGATACAAGTTGCAACGCTAAAGCAAGTTAAGGTTGATGCGGAAGAATTTTCATGATTCATACTTTGTAATTAATGCTCGATGTTATTATATATATTATATAGGTATTACCATTATCATATTACTATGTTCCTGTTTTATACACAGACTATAATATAGAAACGTGAGTTGATTTTGTAAAAATAATACTTTTATATTCCCTCCCTCTATGATGCTATATAATGTCGCTATCATAATCCTTCATAATCTAAAGGAATTATGAAACGATCTTGGTGTCAGGTATATGGGATAGGCCCTGACACTTTGACCTTTATTTATAAGTTCAAGTTGTATCGTGAGTCCTCTAACCCGAAACAATTATTGTTTCTGGAGGCTTCCAGAATATGTCGGATTTAAAGTTATTTAATAGTCGGCAGTTTATCTCAGTTTATTTGTAATGAATACTAAGTAACATGTTGCGTTTAATATATCTATGTATTAACCAGCTTCCACTTGCTCGTAATCTTTCACACAAAAATAAAAAACAAATTATTTATTTAATTATTTATTTACACTTCGTTGCTAATAATATAAGAAACACAATACATAAAAATTATAAGGGATGCAACGGGCGGCCTTATCGCTAATAAGCGATCTCTTCCAGGCAACACTAGTTAAGAGAAAAACTAAAAAAAAAGACACATGATGCGTGCGAGAAGTGCAGAATCCTTAATCTAAAGTAATACAAAAAAAAATATTAATAACAAACTAAAAACTTAAAAACTAATCTTACAAATACATGAACAGCGAATAGTGATGTAAAAGGAATCATAAGAATTATACAAGTCACGATTGATGAGGATAGGATAAGGTTAAGAAATGATTATACAGAAGAGTTTTAAAAGATGACAGAGAGGTAGCCAATCGTACGGAGTCAGGCAGCGTATTCCACAACTTAATGGCGGAGATCGTAAATGAATTGCCTAAGAAGGATGAAGTGTGGGATGGAATTTCCAATAAACATCTATTAGAAGAGCGTAACATATAGTTAGAAGGACCTAAGAATTTGAAGTATTTTTGAGATAAGAAGGGGTTTTCGGATTGAAAAGAATTGAGTATAGAAGTTACCTTGCTATTTGGTTTTTGCATAATTTTGCCAATTATGTATACGAATACTTCTAATAGTTTATTCATAAAATTTTCTCAATTTTGCTAGTATTTTATTACTCACTACCGTTACCGTGTATAAAATATTGGAATCAAGGTTTTTTACGGAATACATTTACTATCAACATTTGATAGGTGTAAAGCAAAAAATAATCCCGCCAAATGTGGCTCACATAGCGCGCTAAACGGTATCCGTATCCACAGAATATAATTAAATATTTTAATGCCTCTAAAAGGCTGCGAGTAAGTCGTTTAGGAAATTCGAGTTGATGAAAAGCTATTTATAAATTTCGATATCATTATTTTAAAAAAAGATAAAAAGTGTGATATTATCACGTCATTTTTAAGTTTTGAACTCTAAATTATTATTATACGAGCATTACTTTATACTCAAATACCTGTAGTATAATAGGTAGTTATATAATATAGTAGTAGACCTTAAATCGTAATTTAATTAATAAACTTTCATCAATTTTGATTTGATCAAAGTTTATTATATGGTTATACCTCGAAACAAGAAAAACTAAATGTAACTGATGCAGAAACCTCCCAAAAGCGAATTGAATTACGAGATACATTCTTTGAGTTACTTTAAAACCCTATTAGAGGTACAGCATAGATAGTAGAAACAATTCTACTATCTATGCTGTACCGTTACCATAATTTATAGAGGCGTGCCCAATATACTGCTTAGAAGTTTGAACGCTTTTAGCCGTTAAGTTACTATTACGTTACACGGTGATGCAAGCAATCCACCGTATACCGTTAAATGAGGTTGATCGACCCTAACGACGCAAAAACTATAGAATAGATATGGATCGAAGCTGGCCAACAATAGATAGAGGTAAAACATAAAAAATGGTGATGTAGATTTTAGGGTTCAACGATTTCGTTTGAGTTTAGCCTATTTTTTTTATCACATGCAAAACCGTATATTACTTTTATTGTAATTTATGTTTAGGCATCAATTAATTATATACATTGAATGATTTCTAGTTAGAACCTTACACTGTGCACATTTTGAATTCACTACTCAATGCAGTATGGTTGTTCAAACTTCATCGAGTTGCTAATGCATGAAATGAAATACCCAAATCGACCAAAAGCCCTTGTTTTCTAATCTATTTTGTGAATATATCTATGAAAATGCCGTTACTCCACATTTCCTGGTTTATAAGAATTTTATCATAAACTGGAAACAAGTTCCGTCGCAGTCAGTTTGATCCTTAATAAGAATGTATTGGTTTAAAATGCAACAGGCGTCTTTGAAGCCTTCTCGTTTGAATCTGATTAGAAATAACGAGCTCTCTGTAATCTTATCCGAGTTTTTCAGAATATTATTTGCTTTAAGAAAAAATATGTTCTTCGTTTTTTGTTCGTATCGCAAACAAATTTGGTATTAAAGTATAATATAATATAGGTATAAGTTGATATAAATAAAAAAGGGTGCGTGTACGCGCGTAAGAAGTTATACTTCTTTGGCATTATTAAAAATAGTTTTTGATTGCATGCAAATAATTGATTACAATTAAATAATCAAAGACTGGAAAAGGAGTCATTATAGTCAATAAAGTTCAGTTTACATTTGAAAAATTAAATAAATAATAATATAATAATATTTATTATTATTCTCTTATATTAAGTGTAACATAAATTCTATTATTATTCGAATGTTGTTTTTAAATTATGTCCAATGCCGTAGCATCTTCCGTGGGCAACTTCATTCTGTTAATTTTGTGTCACGGTGCGCGCGCATCGTAAAATTTCACTCTCATCAATTTTTGACCTTGGAAAAATTAAATGACTACTCCCGACATTGCTTTAAGTAAGGTATTTTTCATCAAAGCTTACATATCTAATAATATATATTAATATTATGGAATCCAATTGCATATAATTCTTTGGCGGTATACACATTTACCGGCATAGGTAATATGAAGATAAAACTAAATTGGTTACACTCCGGATTAACTAATAAAACTGTCATAATATGGATTCATCGATTATAGAATTTAAACGCCAAACATGCATACTTGGTAATATCTATTTTTATTTACATACAATTTTATTAAAAGCGATCTAAAAAAATTCAATCCTATGTTAATTTTATACTTAGATAACTATTATGCTTTATTTACAGCCGACTTAACGGGCTTAACATTGTATTACATTAAGCGCGAATTTGTAATTCTGATGAGTTCTTTCATTTTCGTTACATAATTTTCTACGACCGTCTTATTTTTTATTTATTATGATGTAATAACCCCATTATGTAGTAAAAGTAATTTATTCACTTCAAAATAGTATTATTTAACGAAACAGAGACCTACTAGTACGTAGTAGTAATTATAATAAGAATTAGTATAGTTTCGCATATTATTTTTTTGTAAGTCGCTAAGTATAGTGCGACTGCGACATTAAACGAGTGAGATTTAAATAATTGTAGAACAAATTATCGTAGCAAGACTAATAAAAAGCCGGAGAGCAAAAATTACATAGTTACATTTAATTTTATTAGACTTTCTTAAGTTTTTCATATTTTTATTAATTAAGTAATGAGTTAATAGTAATAATTAAACGATTAGCAAGTCGCCAATCTTTTGTGTTTTATCTAAATATACTCGTAAATGCTCTTAACATAGGAAATATCACATTGTATGAAGTATTTATGTATTGGTGGTAAACAAATTATTAAAAAACGGCATCGCCTATAATTCTTCGCTGGTTGTTAATGGTCAATCACACATTAAAATATTAAATAAAAGCGGATTAGGCCGTTAGTAAACTGTCCTGAAACCATATTATTCATGTGTAATGCACGTGTAGTTGCACTCATAAAATACATTTTTGATAAAACTGTGCATTTAGACCGATTTATTTTTTATGAATAGGGAGTAGTGACCGATGGACTATGGAGATAATTTTTAACTACGAATATAAAATTGACAGTTTATTTTTTTATTCCAATAAGTCACTTAATTTGTATATTCTGTAGTCCTTAGTATTTACTCTGCGATAGCCAAAATAAGTATACTATATACTGTGAAGTGTGAATAGTCTACTATATAATAAGTAATCTGTGCCCTGTGCCTAAAAAATAAAATGTTAATTTGTGATTAAATTTAATGTTTAATATATATTTTAACTATTTTTACGCAGTTATTGAAACATTTCGGATTTCAATGCACTAGAAACTGAAAGACTGCTTTAAAATGGATCATAATAATACAAAGAATGCTTCGGAAGGAATAGCAGTAAGTTTATTTTCTGTTCATTCTTTTCTTTCCTTTAAGAAGGTCCCTCACACCTAATCCATTCTACTATTTAAACCATAAAATATGGTTAATGTGTAGTAATGTTTACAAGTACGTCATAATAATGAAATAAAACTTAAAATAAGTTGAATTCAACCATTTAATCTAAACTTTAATAATTATGCATGTTCTAGCCAATGGGTATTACAGCCTTAAATGAAACAGTGCTAACCAATCAACCAGAGTCAAGATATGAATGTCCTGTATGTTTGAATTGGTTAAGAGACCCTGTGATCACAACCTGTGGTCACAAATTTTGTAAAAGCTGCATCACTTCATGGTTACAGTAAGGATTAACCCTTTTTATTGATAAACATGAAATTATCTTTGCTACTTTTTTATTTTTTTTTTCTAATTTTTAATTAATCTTTATGTCATAACGGTTTTTATCAAGATTTATCTTCTCTATATATCTAATAATAGAACCTTAAATCATAGTGCTAACAAATTGGAATCTGGGTGTAATGTTCACCAATATCATATAACAATATATACAAATGAAATTTGATTACTTAATTCACATTTACACTAAATATTTTAGTCTTAGTCTATAACTATGCTTATTGTCAGCATTCCTAAATGTAAACAAGCCTATAAAATTTTATATACTTTGTTGTCTAATATTCATGGTTAGTAACTTGGTAAAAGTTGTAAAAGTAGTCTCAAAGTCTTGGAAAGACAATCATTTATATTGTTAATATAAAAAGCTTGCTGTTATCTATTTGTATTCTTTGTTGGTTAATAATAGAGTATTTAACATAAATGTGTCTACCCTTTAAACATTAGTCATATATTATAACCAGTTTACATACATGGTACATTTAATATGACTCATACAATGTATTTAACATATTTAATTCTATTACAGAAACAGTGGTCACTGTCCTATTGACAATATAAATCTCAGCATGAAAGTGGATATATTTCCTGATAACTATACAAAACGTGAAATACAGGAGCAAAGGATGTCCTGCCCATTTGCGGGTAAAGGTATGTTTTTAAATCATTACTTAAAAATATATTGAGAGTCATTCATTTTTGAAAAATAATGAAAGAAGAGTGGTGTAGAAGTTCTGGTTAGACACAGCCAACCTATTTCTGTAAAATTTTTAGAATGTTTACTCAATCTCAAGTACACTACAATACACATAAGCGGCGTAAACTATACAAATAAGCTAATGTAAATAGTAATTTGATTTTAAATCTTCTTATTTAATGTTAATTATTATCACAATATTTCAGGATGTACAGTAAAAGTGACTCCATTAGACTTAGATGCACACATATCAACTTGTGAATTCAATCAGCCAGAGGCCTCTACACACCATGATGTTAGGATACCATGCTCTTTCAGTGCTGTCGGGTGCAAAGAAACATTTGATAACCAGGAGGCTGCTAACACACATTTACATAATGATATATTGAGTCATATGAGTGTAAGTATATTTTAAACATCCGTATTTGCATTTGTAATTTTTTTATCATAAGTTGAAAGTTTATAATCATAAATCCAGTGCTACATGTGACATGATACAGATTAAAAAATTAAAACAATTTTTTTTATTATTAAAAATGTTGATTATCATTTTTAATAATCTGTTTTTAATTTAAATTACTATCTGTACTAGAACCACTTTTGCGCATGCGCGGCGTGTGAATAGCGCGAAAAGTTTTGAATTTTGGCGCGTTTGTTTAATGTACTTAATTTGCGCGTGTATTTAATTTTTGTCTGTGAAATTATATTTTTGATAAACATTTTGAAATCACATAACAAAATTAAATGTTTTTATTTTCTTAAATTTTTTAAAATATATAACAAAAAAGCACGTAAATCCGTGGCGTGGCGGTTATGCTAACGAATTTCATTTATTCATAAAAATCACTTTACATTTATTCATATCAAATTCTGTCGCACTATTTTGAAGTGACAATATCGTCAACACAATAAAACTGAGTATTTAGCACTGCTGCGATGTCAAATTCCTCTTTGGTTCTGTTTCCTCACACACTACCAGTAGTGACTAGTGTCTATAGTAGAGTTTTGAATTAAAAGGTTTTGTGGATATTTGTTTTAGCTTCTAATGAACGCGTATTCCAAAATAAAAATAGACAATGACATGTCAAACACAAGCATAGACGCGAAGGAGCAGGAGGCTCTACTTTGGGAAGCACCAGATAAGAATGGGAACGAGGCCAGTACACCGCTTCCTAATGACACCAGTGCTCTTATAAGGTATTTCTTTAAAAACAATTAACCAGTGGTGCACAACCCTTTGATTTGTCACTTGGCATCAAATTTCTATGTTTGTACAAAACATCACAACAACCATTATTTTCTTAATCGGTAAATAGATGATCAGCCTACTGTGCCTGACACAGGCTATCCATTTTAGGTCTATGGCCTATGGTCTATTTTCCCATGTTGTTTTCCTCTACCATTGGTTATCCATTGGTGGCACTGGCGCCTTCTCAAGCCACTTGGCCAACACTTCAGGTAATCATAATATAATAAATGATAATAAATCGTTCTTAGTGTGGTACTGTCACCTGAAGTGGTTTTACTCAACAAAGTTGAGGTAATTCTTACCTCAACGAACAACATATTACCTGAAGTAAATTGAGTTCATACCCTGGTCTTAGTGTTGAGGCAGATCTAAAATGGTAATTTTCACATAAAATATTAAAATACAAAGATAAGAGTGAACTGTAGATACTAACTTAAAAAATATTGAACAAGTTATTAACAATTATTTGAATAGAGGCTTTTTGTGCTTATGTTTAGTCTAAAAAACAATTATGTATAAATAATATTAAGAAAAAATTAAATTAGGTGAGATAAAAAAAAAATATTTTCTACACTGAGTTCGTAGGTTCAAAACCTGACTGTATGCTGATGTATTTTATATACGGAATCATTACTTATCGTGAAGGAAACCAAAGATATTTGTGTCAACTTTACTAATACTAATTCCATACTTTTCAGAGCCCTCTATGAACGGGTGGTAGTACTAGAACAAAGAAATCGCGAACAGGACATAGTGATAGCAAACATTTCAAAACAACTCTCAGCCTTTGCTGTGGCAAAGATGAAACAGAACAATGATATGCTCCTCAGATACTGTATGGGCAATTATATATGGAAAGTGGACAATTTCAAAGCACGATTAGAAGCAATGCTCAAGGACCATAATAAAATGTTGTACAGCCCTGGATTTTACACTTCTCCAAATGGATATAGGTGAGTTAATATAAAAAAATATTTTTTTTTAATAAATAGTCGTCGCAATCTAATGTCAAATACTGTCAAATTTCATATAGGTTTGACTAATCTGTGGGGTGTTTTAATTTTGTGATAAGAGAATTAAATTAACTTCGCTTTCTATTAAAAACAGTAGTGAGATACAGCTTGGTTTCCTTTTAAAATTTGTTTCGTTAACAATATTGCTTAAATGTAACAAAAAGATAAATTATACATAGATGGTTAGTTGCGAAATAATTTATAACTATAATGTATAATAATCTAATGTAACTATCATGTATTGGTGATTTGAATACAGTATATGTATGTGTGTATAATTTAATGTCGTGTATAATATAGTATTGTTTTTTTTTGTCTACTTAATACAATGATTAAGTATTAATCATGCACTATCATAGCTACTTTTATTTACTAATACTAACATTCCTGGAAGACTGTTAGGCCCATATTCTAGAACGTCAACTTAAATCTAGTCTCAAGATCTGTCAGATCATTTTTTTTTGTATGAAATTTGACATTTTTGACAGCGCTCAAGACGTGATTTTGACTTGATATACGAATATGGATCTTAGAGTCTGTGCGGAAAGAGAACAGTCGTGGAATTTGAGATCGCATCAGTGCTGAATTACCTTTATGTCGACAACACTGTTACGTCAATATAGTTTGACAGTAAGGATGTGATAAATTTTAAAAATAGCTTTTATGCAAATGAAATGACGTAGCAAATAAGAATTAGTTCGCATAACCACCACGCTAGTGTCTTTCCACATAGACTTTACTCTGAGAATAAACAATTCCAACAGATTCTGCGTCCGCCTAAACATATCCCCCCTCAACCCGCTCTGTTTCGCCCTCCACGTGCATTTAATGAAAACTGAGAACGACGAATACCTGGACTGGCCTTTCAATGGCAGAATATCCTTTTCCATGATCAATCAATATGACTCCGAATACACTCAAAGGGACACAATGATGTCGAACTCCTCTTTGGTAGCATTCAGAAAACCCACTTCGGAGATCTGTGTGAGGGGTTTTGGTTACAATGAGTATGCCGAAGTCAGCGATGTGGTGAGGAACGGTTTTGTTAAGAACGACGTGCTTATTATCAGTGTTAGAATCAAATGTGTATGACATAAGGAGTAATTTTTTTTTAATAAAGATCAATAAAAAATGTACTTGAAGTGAGAGAATGTTTGTATGAAGGAAGTGTGTTAGTGTGTCTCTAGTACCGTCTCACAGAAGACGGTTATTTTAAAATTATATAGGCTACCAAAACCCTTAATTATTAATATCATCTGATTTGATTATTCTGTGTTTTAAATACACAATGTAATGTAATTGTATGTTTAGTATGCTTAAACGTATATAATAATTTTATGTCGATAAATGTACGCATACGTCAAATTTTAAGAAAAAACTCGGGCAGAAGTAATGCTACCTAGCTTTTGTAATCAGTGTGAATATCACTTTAAAAAATCTTGTAAAATACTCTAATTTTGATAACTTTAAGGGTGAGATCTATAGTGCGCACTTAGGGTGAGATCTATAGTGCGCACTTAGACTTTGCTCTGACTTAACTATCGAGCTAAGACACAGTCGGTATTTATAGAGCAAACTGCGAATCTCTCCCTAGTGTTGGCTTAGCTTAATCTCAAGTCCACGAAATCGACGACTTACCAAAAACTTTGACTATAAGCCTAACAAAAATGATGGCCCAAAATTTGCTTTACCATCATATCTTTTACTGGACTTTTTATTTTTGTCGGTTTTTAATGAACGGTGTTGCCATTTTGTATCGGAGTTCCATAGACTTTGGGAAAAATAGAATTTGAATTCAAAGAAATTATAAATGATCTTGATAAATACCTATGAAATGCATGAATTAAAATAATTACACATTATTATGGTATTTATTATTGTTTATTTATATTATTTATGTAATTGTTCAAACCCCATTTTTGAGAAATCTTAAAAATAACTGGTGTGATTTTGTATGTCACCTGGCAGCCCTGGCATATTATAGTGACAACGAAATCAAACTATAACCTAACCGATGTCTCTCGCTTCACATCTGTTATTTTCGTTTCCCTGAATCTTCTACCATTTATTACCTGACTACTCTAAAAAATTTGAGATAGGAGTGGAACATATGAAATTAAAAAATCTGTTGGAAATAGAATTTCTTCAACAAAAATATAAATTAGTATTAGAAATATGTATTACACTTAAAAAAAGAATCAGAAAATAAATGATTAAAATGAAACAAGTTTTGTTTTGATATTCTTTATTACCAAACAAATTACCTAGTTAAATTGTGCAATCACAGATTGCCGGAATGCTAGACCTGTAGGAGATCTTTCATTGTTTCTGTGTTACTCAACTTCTGCTGTCAGCAAGATCACCATCATCATAGGCATCCCCTCTCTGTATACCTATATTATGCAATACAACACAAGCTATAATTATATTTAACTAGTATTTGTCAATTTTGACTGTAGTCCTAGCTGTAAACATGGAAATTTCCTTTATCACACTCCGAAAAACCTTTAAAAAATATGCCTAGTTCTTATTTGAGAATAATTATAAATATTGGCAGCTCTTGTCATTGGATTTAAAAGTGTTGTTAACATGAAGTTAAGTGCTGGATAACCGCTGTCACCTACTAAAACAGGCATTTTCTAAATATCCTGCTGTCGTGTGAACTGCCAGGCCACCTAGTCACTATAGCAAATATTTCCATATCAGGCCCTATTATTGCTTGCACATTTATAGAAAAATACCCTTTTTTATTTCTGTATGCTTCAGAGTGAGTGATACTTTGGGTCTATTAATTTTTATATGGGTGCAGTCAATAGCTCCGATTATACTGTTTAGGCCATGGTGAGTATTAGATCTTCCTAATTCTTCAAACTTCGTTATGGCTGTGTTCATATTTCTTAGAAAATTTACAAATCTAGGAAGTAATTTACTCAACTCTGCAGAAACTTTATTTATAATTAAACAGACTGTAGATTGGCTTATGCTGTTCAGATCACCACACACCATCTGTAATGTCAATAAATTATTATTAGTCACATAGGGGAAGGTCGGGACCCTTCGTACGGTTTTCACATTTTATTTTTTTATTATTTTATTTTTCCATGAATCAATCATCTGCAAGCTTAAATTTATAGTCTAACTATCTGTGATTCATATAAGAAAATGACAAATGATTTCATCTGATGGTTCAACCATAATTATGATTTAAACTAAATCTGGAAAACGTACGAATCTACCCCATCAACGGGGCACCTTCGTACAGTGTTGAGGGTACCTTCGTACGCTGTGGGGTAGTTCCGTACGTGCGATTAAAACGACACATATAAATCAAAATTCATTTATTAGCAATGAAATTAAACACAAAAATAAAGATTTAACTTCTAATAAACAAAAATAAAATACTTTAATTATAGTGAACAAAAATTACATAGCTTTTCTTAAGAAAACCAAAATTTAATTAGTTAGGTATCTTAAATTTAGAATCACATTCTTTAATCTTTGGTGCGGATTAGCACTTCTTATTTTCGGGTGTGGCAGTATAAATTCGTGGTTTTCCTGGCCGTCGTCATTTTGTTTGTTTTATTACTTCTTACAACATGCGTATAGAGTCGAAACCCTTAAGGTGTCAAAACTGACTTCGAAGGAACTACTATTTGATGGATTGGTAAATTATTCAAAGCATCTGGTTCACATGCATCAAAATCAACCTTAATAAAGATAATAAAAATAGGTAATAAAAATACATCGACGATAGCAATGATAGCAACACAGGACAAAGTTAATGGAAATATTAGAGCAATTAGCACACTAACACAATCTTTCCTACCTACCAGAGGGTTTAGTCAAGATGCCTTATTATTATTTGTATGTAGCAAGTCGAAAACTTAATTTGTATGAAAATTACAGTTCGTGTCGACAAAATATTTTCATACAAATTTAGTTGTACAATTCGTTCAAATGTGCCCCATCTAGTGCTGTCCGAAAGTACCCCACTAACTGAATAACAACAAAATATAACTTATTTTAATATTAATAGGAAAACGTCATAAATTAAGTATTGGAGACGTATCTAAGTATATTTTGCTAGTTACTGATAGAATACTCTACACGAAAACTTATTTTATCTACGGTAACAAGAGACAAAAACATTGATCAAAAAATTACTTACCGAGCGCGAAAACACGTCCATGCCTGTAACTTCATTCTCATCGGTGCGAATTTCGCGAAACTTCGATTATGTATAGTTCGTACCTCGACTCATGCACACATACAAAAACAAGACTGTACTTTGTTTCGTTCAAGTTTTATTTCGACTGTATGAATGTGCCCCGCGTACGAAGGGTAACAATCTTCCCCTATATGTTATGTTTCTGAAAGTCAGAAGACAAAAGTCTTCAACATATGTACTATTTAAAATCATTTGAGAAGAGGTATAATATATCAAATTGAAAAACCATACATATTTATGAACACAATATTACCTGAAAACATCCAGTTGCATTTTTATGCCTTAATGCAATAAGTATTTGCAATTGCGGTAGGTTTGGCGATCCTCTGTTGTTATAAGGTTGCAAGTTTGTAATGATCAGCGTCAGGATCACATTTAATACCGTGTGTTTCAAAATACGGTTCCTTCTTTTGAATTCATTCTCACCGTACAGGATGGAAGGATTTTGGTTTTATTAGTTCCGAACATATACAACACTTTAGGCATTCGTGGATTCATATCGGCTGCAGTTCCTACCCTTTCAATGTTTTCTATTGAAGATAGAACTCTCTCTCTCCATCATGTCACTTTCGATATTGATATTTCCAAGCGGTCCATGTAACAAAGCCAAATCACAAAACGTCACAGTGCTTCGGGAATGCGTAGGAGTTAAGTAGGTATACGATCCAGATTGGTCCAGGTCCAAGTCACAAAGCCAGTCGTTTTTTTGAAGAAAGTTAAATTTAATATTTATAAGCTCATACAAACAGAAACAGAAAAGAGAAAAAGTGGTTTAAAATTTTCAATTGTTGATACAAGTGCTCTGTTGCTGTTGTCAAAACATTGCGATCCGTTCTACGTAATAAAATTATTGTCATCTTTAAATAATTAATACATTTTCTAAAGGTTACTCGTAAATTTCTAGTTATTGCAATAATAAAATAAATGAATACATAAATAACAATAAATTGAAGATATATGTGTACCGTTTTAGATGTTTAAATATTTGTTATTGTTTACTTTTTTAAAGGATAATAAACAAAGTATTGCATGAAATGAAACATCAATTTGTATTTTGACATTTTCTGTCTTAGCTTGGGCTTAGCTTAATCTCACCGTTAAAATGTCTATAAATACGAAATCATAGTTTAACCTTAGTGTACACTAAGCAAAGTTTTTCGTAAGGTAAGTCTGAGCAAAGTCCAAGTGCGCACTATAGATCTCACCCTTAGACTTTGCTCTGACTTAACTATCGAGCTAAGACACAGTCGGTATTTATAGAGCAAACTGCGAATCTCTCCCTAGTGTTGGCTTAGCTTAATCTCAAGTCCACGAAATCGACGACTTACCAAAAACTTTGACTATAAGCCTAACAAAAATAATGGCCCAAAATTTGCTTAACCATCATATCTTTTACTGTACTTTTTATTTTTGTCGGTTTTTAATGAACGGTGTTGCCATTGTGTATCGGAGTTCCATAGACTTTGGGAAAAATAGAATTTGAATTCAAAGAAATTATAAATGATCTTGATAAATACCTATGAAATGCATGAAATAAAATAATTACACATTATTATGGTATTTATTGTTGTTTATTTATATTATTTATGTAATTGTTCAAACCCCATTTTTGAGAAATCTTAAAAATAACTGGTGTGATTTTGTATGTCACCTGGCAGCCCTGGCATATTATAGTGACAACGAAATTCAAACCATAACCTAACCGATGTCTCTCGCTTCACATCTGTTATTTTCGTTTCCCTGATCTTCTACCATTTATTACCTGACTACCCTAAAAAATTTGAGATAGGAGTGGAACATATGAATATAAAAAAATCGGTTAGAAATAGAATTTCTTCAACAAAAATATAAATTAGTATTAGAA